GAGATTTTTCATCTTCATTTATACCATACGGTAGAGCTTTCAAACTGTACACAGTGAGATATTACAATGGTAAAATATAATCTGTTTCCATAGTTTTTCTAGTTCATTATCTGTGAGACGTGTCACATTTTAGTAGCCTACAACAGTTTTTTTTGTGTAGTCAAAAGTGAGTACACTCTAGAATCGGTCAATGTGTCCGTCAGGGCGGCCGTCCGCCCGTTTACACGATAGCTTTCGAAAGGAGAGCCATATCATGATAAAATTTTATACGGTTCAGTTTCATCAATGTCTCAGTCGAGTTCGAAGATGGAAAAGATCCATCAAAAAATGGCTGAGTTATCGAAAAAATTGTCATTATTGACCAAACCATCCTTGAGGGGGGTACAGAAATTTTTTCAAAAAAAACGTTCTCTCAAAATTATTCACAACACATATAAATCGACTCTGCTTTTAACGCTGATTCCGAATATGATATTAGTTTTGAACCAAATTTTAGCTTTCTAACAAAGCATCGCTTGAAAAAAGTCTCAAAATGCACAAAAATTGCACCCCGGGTCAAAATTCGGCAATCAAATTCTATCGGATGTGTTTCAATCCGATGAATTCCGATGGCTACATCCGACATGATTCCGATTGTCGGAATCCGATCGGATGTCAGTTAATGCCGGTAACTCCCGACTTTTGTCGATTATCGAATCCGATGAAACCCGGTTGTCGTAACCTATAGGACTCTGTTATCGGAATCCAGTCGGTTCCCTGCGTTTCCGGCATCTGAGAACTCGGATATTTGTTTTCAAGGAGCAGTCGAAAATGTCTTAACTTTTTGTAAATATTGTATGTAATTGCAATTATTTTCTTGTGGTACAAAACAAGAACACTCTGAGTTCAATTCAGTCTTCAGAGACGTTAGTTCTACGAAAGAGTAAATTGAACTAGATTTCGATTGTCCAAATTGCACTAGTCAATTTTATACGAAACTACTGCGTCCTAAATTCGTTAATTCTCTCTCATTGAAAAACGAAAACAACAAAAGTAAAGGGCAGACACTGCCGACGATAATAGATTTAAATGGCACTAGCATTTCATAAAATACTATTAGTCTGTTTTCTTTTTATCCACGACGGAAGGCATTATTTTCTGATCAATTGAAACGTATTAGGAGTGTCATGTATTCTTTTATTAATATTGACTTCTTTGAGCACAAAGTACTTGCACTGAAAAAGAAAGACTCGGCAGTATTTTACTACGCTTTTAATTGTTTTATTCGCAAAAACGAAACGTTAAAAGAGTTTAGTATTATGTAGAGTTTCGTGTGAAACTTTTTCGGACCTCGAAAAGCAAAAATATTTCCTAAAATACTCTTTAAATTTCATTTCGAACGTGAGCATTAAAATATAGAAGCACTTGCCCGGACTTCATTTCTTATATCATTAATTTTTTCACTTCTAATCATATTCCACATTGCGAAAAATATTACCAATAAACAGTAGTCATAACAAATCGAAATGGTTGAAGTACTTAAGATTATCAAAAACAGCCTATTGCAATGTAGCTTCTAGTCGTAAAAGAATCTAGTCGTGCACGCTTTCTGTTGAGAAGCCCAAGTACATTCGCTTAAGGGAAAGAGTTAAACGCAGTTACAAGAATATTTTGGGCGTTGGATTAGGACGCAAGTATTAAGTGAAGGAGATAGCTATAGAAAATGTGGCAGATCAAGTTTTAGGCGATACTTTAGGCGGACAGATTAAGGTTAATAGATTAAGTTAGGCGCCTAGATATAGTTTAAGGAAATAAGTTACGAGATAGATTTATCCGTTCAAATCGTGGAAACGCAGATTGGGTGCATTGTAACTGTGACGAAATTTCAGTTACGAAGCCAATTTGAATGTGAATTAAAGATGGTTAGGTATGGAATCATATTTTTATTACATGATCCGATACAATCCAGTCGAATCCATTCGTCGGAACTGATAGGATCCAACGAGATCTTTTCCTAATCATATGTTCGTCGAATTCAGGGCTCGTTCCGACAGAATCCGATCGAATTCAGCCAAAACCATCCAATTCTGGCACAATCCGACAAGATTCATTGATCGGAACTCTCGACCTGGAATATTCTTTTTTGGTTAACATTAATAGCGAGTGAAAAGAATCTTAGATTCAACCATGCTGCAAAGTAATTAGGTAGTAAACCTATGTTTTATGGGACTTGTGGTACACTGAATGCGATAAAGAACTTATACTAATAGCACATTTGCATTGTTATATTAATATAGCCAACCCTTTGCCAAGGTATTTGATGATTTACTACAGTTTTAACTGGATTTCATATGGCTTGCCTTACCCTTATGCGAGCTAAGCTTCATTTTTTTATTTTAAAACTTACATATTGCATGGTAGTGAAGGAAGCCTTATACTTCAAATAAATACCCAAACCCAAACTCAAACTTATTTGACCGAACCCATCAAATCCAAACAGTTCGGGTTTTGCATATGTCTAGTAATCATAGAAGATATGCCGTGCCCCAAACGTGTAATTATTACTACTATAAGTCCACGGGATTATTTATCAACCGAGTCAGTTATCTGTGCTTCATTCAACTGTCTCTCCTAATCTACAGTTCTTCAAAATCGTGCTTAGAGCAAAAATAATTTTAGGCTCAAGTAATTTTTTAAGATTTATGCAGTCAAGAACAAGCGACAGTTGCTTGTATCAATATCATCCAGGAAATCATGCATATTCACTGAGAACATTAGAATACATAGGTTCCGTGTGATCTCTAAAAGCCTTATGTCACAAAAATCCGGAAATCCAACTTGACGCTTCGCAGTAAAATCGAACAGAAACCTGTTTTTCACTTGCAATCGAGTTCAATTCTGAAGCAGATCTATAGTAAACATATTCCTATATCGAGTTCGCGAGCAACGGTGCAAAATCAATCCTCTTAATCAAAAAAAACAAAAATTTCCAGAGGTATTTGAGGGTGGGTGTGGGATGTGGATGTCCAGAACATCAACACCCACACCCACACCCACACCCACACTCTCAAATTGTGTATTGTATTTTTCAAATTCTTCCTAATAACTTACCACGATCGAAAATTTGAAAGTAGTTGATGTGCTACTGTTGTTGTTGGAAAGAACTTTTTTCAACTGATAAGATTTGGTTGATATTTTTTTCAAATGTCTTTTTTCTTACCGCTTTTAGCAAAGCGACGTAACTCAACCCATTTCTATTTGCTCTACCACTTCTTTCCTTTTTTCAAGCATGTACGCTTTGGAGAAGCACCGCGTACATAACAACAATACGCATTCAAAGGGTGTGGGTATGGGTGTCATTAGAGACATGGAGTAAATGGACACCACCCCCACACTTTCGCAACAGGCTTTTTGTTAAAAAATCTAATTAATTATATACACTAATTAATTTAAAATAAACAAATTGTTAAATATAAAATTTCTTCGGGTTATACCGGCGGGACGGATGCATGTTTGTACGGGGGCGAGCAGGGTGGGGAGGGGGTGCTCGCGCAATTTAACTGCGGAGGGTTGGCGGGACGGGTGTTGGAAATTTGCGGGGTGAGCCCCACGTGGCACGAAAATTTCATGTCCGCACACCTCTGACGCATATAATGAAATTTAAAAAAGTTCTGTTTTTGATGGCAATGATGAAATGTCTATTTAGACAAGTAACGTGACCTTAATGTGGCTAATCGTCTACTGAAAGGACATGAGGATCTAAAACAAATAGCACCACCACAACGCCTGGGCGAGATACTTTTAACTTGGTAATGATTGCAACGAAAAAACTGAGTGATAACCAAGCTTAAATACAAAACTTATTTACAAGTATCATGAAGCAATCTTCATTTAGGTGCTAATTGTCGATACTAAATGAATACAGTGAAATTAGATGCGTTCCAGATAATGAAGCACGAACAACATTTAGAAAAATTTCAATAAGCTCGATATAAAATGAAGAAAAGCAGCCACCCAGGAAAGCTATCTTCGGAATACTCCGTTTCAGTAAACGATAACTCAAACTAGTCTACACATTCATAGATTAAAAATCGAATCGAACCGTGTTTTTCTAATTTGAGTTCCGTCCGGTTTATCTATATTTTTGTTTAAATCGGTTTAAATTCGTTTCGGTTCGGTCCGTTCTCCCTCCCTGATGTAAATGTACGCATGCAAGTATGTATTCTCAAGGATAAAGAAACCTGAAACACTTACTTGATTTAATTCATATCCATCTCTCAATTCTACAAACAACTAAACTTATTAAAAAAATTTCAATGAAAATATATTTCAGATATTTTAAGTGAACTATAGGCAAACTTTTGTATGGTGTTGATGCGGAAAAAGTAGCAGATTGACGCCATTTTTGACAATCGTTTCAACTTTTATAATCTACACAATGTGTAAATATTCTGAAAGTTGTCAAAGTGTGTAGGCATAATAACAATAGCTTTTGCGACTGACGTGAGCGACTAATCGCCTCAATTATTAATGTATTTCGTTCTTGTGATTGTGGCTAGAAAACTTGCTTGGAAGTATCACCAATAAAACGAAATTTAAGTAGTACTTACTAATACTATATGGCAATAGTGAAGTTAAGTGCATCCGATCCGCTACAGCTCAAGCTATGATCGAAATACCCCATTTTAGTAAAGTTACAACTCAAATTGGGTGTGGGTGTGAGTAAAGAGAGCACTCTCAGCCACACCCACACCCTCAAGAATGGGAAAACGAAAAGGATGAAAACAAATATACCATTTTCATGAATTATAATGAGAAAAACGAGCACTTTTAACATATTTATTTGGCTCGCTTTCAGCGTGGCTGTGTTCAGTTAATTTCCCTAGTGGATAAAATATTGAATATATAGTAACAGTTTTCCCGACTATATGTCCAGTAGTGTAGCTTTAAATATCCATGATTATAATTTTTTATACACGATTAGATAGAAGAACTTAACAAGAAAATAAAATGAATATAAATTAAGATCTGTTATTCTCCCTTTGAAGATTTTGCAGTTCATCATAGACTGTTTTGTCAAAAAAAGGTTTTAGCAAAGTTAAAGTGATGTTGTCCTTATCTAATTCTGACAGGAACTGTTCCATGGCTTGTGCACGCGATCGTATAATACACGCAGGTCCACCAGCCAAATACTTGTCGCGTATGCAATTTTTATGATCGACAAAATTCAGACGAATTTTATCTTGTATAGGATCACATTTCAGACTGCTTACGGCAATACTAAAATCTAATTGATCCCATGCTTTTTCTGTATCGCGGTAGCACAACCATTGAAATGATCCATTCGTTTCTGTTATTATGTTTGTCTCTGTCAATGTTTTTGGTTCGAGTTCTTGCATGAACTGCACTGATTGAACATTGCTATCGGTCAACATAATAGTGTGACAATATTCCTCGTCATACTTTCGTGTTCCAAGAATATATGCTTTATACTTGAGGAAATAACTAAATGGAATAGAGAAACGATAGCATCCATAGCTTGAGTTCTTGTAATCAAGTGATGGAGATAAAAATTGAGAACTAACTAAGCTTTGTTCAGGTGGTAGAATTGCAAACCATACCATAGGAGGCCCGTGATACGCATGGTTTGGACCACCGATGAACTCAGCTACTAAGTGCTGCTCTGCAGTTGTCGTCCGATTCAATTGCGAAGCTAATCCATTTCTTCTTAAATTTAAAATTGACAGAACATCATCAATATTGTGTACAACATGTTGGAGATTTAAAAATGGAATGTGCTTTGGCTCTTGATCAGTCGGAAGCACAAATATATGAGGCGTATATTCGTATGTTTTCCTAGGAGGCAGTCGAGGACATACGAATAATTGATCGGGATTAGTGCAAAAGTAGTATCCATTGATTTGTCGATGCACGCGTTCGAAACCGACTCGATTCAAAATGTTGTAGAGATTCAAGAAAGCTTTTTCCATTTTTCTATGATCATAATTATATCTGATAGGTAAACTTCGTTGTTCTATAGAATGAAGAAATGTATAATTCGGACAAATCATAGCATTAATTGTTATTGCTAAATGACTAATAAGCTCATCGGATGGTACAATGCCATTTTGCAGTAACTCATTGACAGCATCAAATAATTGTTGGGAACATTCCTCTGCATTATCGACTTTCGTCCACATTTTTTGACTGAACTTGGCCAAAACTCGATAGAACTTGAGTTCTGCAATTTCAGCAACAGTTTGTTCGTTTGACGTATTCATACTTCTGCTAACTGCAAATGACATACATATATAAATATTGTTTCTGAAATAAAATAAATCTTCTTTGACATTAATCTCGTTTCTCCTTATGCCTCATAATTGCCTGGAACTTTTCTTTTCAAGTTTTACTGGCGTCATTCTTCCTCTTGTTCTGCTACTTTTCGATATTTTCTCTAACATTTAAATATCTTCATGTTTAACTCAACATTTGAATTGGATATATCAAAATATTTGTGTTTTCAAACCGTCTTTGATCTCGTATATGAAATCCAACTATGCAATTGACTAGAGATCGTCATGTGTGAATATGAATGAGGGTAACAACACTTAATCGGAAACTGTGATTATGAGTCATTCACGCTAGAAACGCGCTTTTTGTGCAAAGCTTTCCATTTCAGAGCGTTTAAACGTGTTTTTTTTAAATGTCTGCCTGTTTGGCAACTCAACTCAGTCAAATTATAAATAATATGTAAATTGAGAAATATTGTTATTCGATGCAGAACATCCAACAATCTTACTTGTAACTAAGATATTTCTTCTCATATAAAAACTAAGCATCCAATATGTATTTCCTAGTCAATCGTTACTACATTTTCAGGGGATTATTAAAAGAAAGTAGTATTTGTACAAATTTTATTAAATTCTTACTTACATTAATTTTTGTGAATACTATCTAAACATAAAATATCATAGTTAGAATAACTGCCACAACAGCAATTAATCAGTAAATATATACAAGACTGGCAGACGTGAGGAAATTCTCGGTATATATATATGGCAGAAAAGAAAAAAACAATGAAAATGTACTTGGAAAAAACCAACGTGGCCAATTGCTGGAAATGTAACGGAAAAAACCACATGAGTCAATAGTTAGCGCAATAGATGTAGACATTCTTACAATTCACATAGAAACTATTCAGTCTGCATAAAGATATAGATATCAAGGAACAGTGTACACACATACGTATCTATCGCTTTCTCTTCTACGCATATTTTGACACAAGCAGGAATCTGAGGATAAATCAGGAGAGCAGAACATAATAAAAAATATCCGCCACTCATCTTTCTATACTTAAACAAGCATCTTGAAAATTTTACAACACTATTGCATAAATTTCATAAGAAATAAAAATTTATTTCAACAGAGAAAAAGAAGGTAAATTCCAGCTTCGCCGATTCTTTTTTTCGCCGACGATTATTTTCTTGAGGGTGTGTGTGTGTGTTACCAAGTCATTATTAAAGTAGTTAGTTAGGATAAAATTCTATATCTAGAATGGATCAAATTTGATTCGATATTTTTCGGCCAAGATTTTTATTTGGCGAAGTTGGAGTCGGCGAAAATAAAATTCGCGAAGCTGTACTAATTCAAAAAGAACGCTACAAAAATACGATAAGAAGTCATTTTTGTAGATATTTAAAAAGTAAAATTCTCTAAATTAATTTTTGATCATGTAGATATTCTTTGATTTTATCCATATCGAAGTTCATTTCTAAAATATCATTGAATTTGTTCATTGGTTCTCCAATCAATAGTCGCATGTCATCTAGCATATCAACTTCATTTAATAATTCGAAACGTAATGATGATACATCATTTTTAAATTCTTTAAATTCAAGACCATCATTGTTTTCATTGGCACCGGTATGTTTATTTTTATAATGGATTAAAAATCGTCTAATAATACGTTCAATCACTATTTTATATGTTAATTTTTCGTGTATAGCATAACTACGTTGACGATCAAAGATTTTTTCATGTTTGAATCTATCATGTTGTGTACCTTTTATATTTATATCATTATCATTATCATCATCATGGTTACGACGTCGAATATTAAGCCCATCCAATCGATCATCACCAGTTTCATTTGCTCGTTCATCATCATCGTCGGATGAATTTTTAGAAAGGATCAGATTTTTTATTCGTTTGAATAGGTGAATAAAAGATTTGGGCGTTGGGCAGATATTCATTGGAACGGGTAAACTATTTCCTAAATAGTAGTGATTTTAAAAACAAATTCTCTTTTGAAATTTTCAAATAAATATGACAGTAAGAAATTCGAATAGATTGAATGCCACTAACTTTCGGCTACCCAATTCTACATGGATTATAATACTAGCTAGGCCTCTGGAGAAAAGACTGATCTGAATCAATCTAAATTTTCATGCACAGTTACTGATCATACGCTGCCTAAGAATTTAGATGTACGCTTAAGATGTTGTTGCTTCTTCATTGAAAATTGCTTCACATCATTATAAACCAGGCAAAAAAAACAGTATCTTTCTTTCAAAATTTTTTGACAACTTTGCTACAATCTTAAAAAATATCACTTTTTTAGACAGTATTCTCGATTATAATATTTATACATATAGTTTAATCTTTCATAGTCTCTCTAAAACACCAATTCTATTTATGATAATTAACAAAACTGATTTGAGATGATTTTATGATAAGTTAAGCGAAAAACATTTTATTTTACCATCTCGCACATATTCCATATAAAGCCTTGAACGGGCAAATTTCCATTCCACATCCGCTCTATTATCAATTATATCAATTGTTTTGCCCATCATAGCGATTAACGTATTAATAAGTACTGTAACACAAATAAAAGTAAAAAGACCGAAAATAATAAAGCCAAGATTCGATGAAAATATATCAAAGCCCGGCGCATAACTTTTCGGATCAGGTTTATTACATGTCAATGAAATAAGTTCATAGCCGCGATCCTAGCAAAACATAAAATAAAGTGTCTGACAAGAATTTTCTTACTTACTGGTATATCATCTTCAGCCATATCACCAAATAAAGTAAAAAATGTTGTCAATATTGTCGATCCAAATTTTTCACCAAAATAATGGATAGCCGGATGAGGTCCAACGTTTTCGATTTTGTCGTATTGTTTCGATTGTTTACAGGAATTATTCTCATCTAGATTAGCTACATCAGGTGCATCGAGAGCTGTCACATTGGGAAATGATTGATTGATTAATTTATAATACGGCAGACATCGTGCACTTGTTGACATTGATAAAGTCTCGTATCTCATCAGTGAAACTATTTGAGATGCAGCAGTATTTGATGATGAATGCAAAATATCGTGCTGTTTTAAAGCAGTAGCAAAAGGAGAAAAAATTAAAAATAATGAACATGCAAATGCAACAAAAAATATTAAAATGATTACAATCCATTTTGAAATATCAATAATCATACGTTCAAGCATTACCTAAAATAAATACAAAAACATATAGTTCGAACCGAACAATAACCGGCGATAGGCCAGTGTCGAAATGGAATCTAGCTGCTCAAGCGTCAAAATTATCGAATACTACTATTTACTTGTAATGGTCCAACAAATCCAATAATTGGTAATAGAAAGCAAATTCGACAAATACTTGCAACATTGCCCATGGCAAAAAATGCTTCTGCTAAATTTTGTAAATCATTACTACTCCAATAATATCGATCAGCATTAAGCCAATAGAGTATATGATAAGTTTTACCGAGATATTCAACCTTTTCACCCTCCCTCATATTATCATAGCGAACAATATTTCTCCAATAATCCGATGAATGAAACATATTCATTGATGTACGAGTCAAAACCATAGATGAATAGAGACATATGAAATATAATATATAAAGTATATTCATAAGACAATCGACATAATTACCTATAGAAATCATTGTTATTTTATACAAGAAGTATAACATATTTTTATTCTTAAAACTCACTATGTGATTTTAGATAAACTCGCACACCCGCACCAAACAGTTGTTTAATTTCTTGCCATACAAAACCAATAACCCAAATAAAAATCGCTATTTGAAATGGATTTGGTTCCATGAAACGAAGGCTAATGTCACAACTGATGAGTCTATCATTTTTATTAGCCTGCGAATTTTGATTTAAACTATTTAAATCATACCGCAGTTGATCATTTTCATAGATATTTTCAATATAAAATTTGTAAATAGTTGAATTATAATTAGAAAGAAATTTTGTTTTTTGCAAATGTGATATTGAGAAATAGCTCGATGCTACGATAAGACTAATAAAAGTAAGATAGGAGACAATGTATGCTTTTAATTTTAAATTTGGTTGATGACACTGTAGAAATTAGCAAAATAGAATTATTTTAAATGAATTTTAATAAGTACATACCAATGAACCAATTTTAGTTTGAGGGAAAAAATAATAGGCCAACAATAAAAATGGTAAGCAGACAATAAAAGCCAGATAAAATAAGATACGCTTTGTAAGATGAGCATTTTTAATAGCCGATAAATTTTCGTACCATTTTTCCATTAATTTCTGCTGACAATTCGAATGTGAAACAAATGCTTTTTCTTGATTGATGATAGCTAAATCGAATCGAGCTAAATTTTCATATTTTTCTTCGTGTGGCTGCCCCGTTTTATTTAAAACAATTTCAAGTTCTTCATGTCCTCGGACATTATCGAGTAATCGTGTAACAAAGATGGATAATTGATGAGATAATTTTTCGTAATCTTCACGAAAATAATGTTCAACTTTTGCAAGCGTTCGTATTTCATGATTCAATTCAAATGCCTGTAAGATTGGATCAGGATATGTCAGAGCTATATAAACTTCAGATGAAAGACCTTTGTAGGCCGATAGACGAACTTGAGCTTGCCGAAATGAATCATACGCCGAACTATCAGCACAATCAACACATGGGCACATACTTTTATGTGGCTTTTGTATGCGTTCACCTTTCGATAATAATTGATGAACAATTTGTAAACGATTATATTGAGCAGCAAGAATAAGTGGAGCTAAGAAACAGAACAAAAATTTATAAGTAAACTGATTTAGTTGTAGTGACTTATCACAAAGAAATTCGACGAGAAAACACTTACTTATGTCAGAACTAAATTGTGAATCATCATACGCTTGTGGATGTGTTGGATCAAGAAAACCGCCACTGAACGTTCGATAGGTGGGATGATTCATAATAAAATCTGCGATATTTGTATGGCCCAAATAAATCGCCAACAGAAGTGCATCGCGAAATTTTTCATAAGGAATTTTATCGAGTAAAACTTTGACGACTTCAAAATGTTCATTTTCAATAGCCAATTGAAGAGCACTTTTACCCATTTTATTCGATACATCCGCTTCGACTTCATCGTCAATTAAAAGTCGATGCACGCACATGTAATCGCCATGTGCACAAGCGAATAGAAATAAATCGGTTGTATCTTCAAAGGTTTTATTATAATATGTACGATTAGTCGAAGACGAAGATACGGATTCTTTACGTATATTGTCCGCAGAATGTAGATGAGCCATATGAATGTGTGTGTATGTGTGCTTTTGTCTAAAATAAAATAGATTAAAATTGAAATATTATTTGAAAATATTTCAAACATAGGCTTCCCTAGAAGTAGGAAACAGCGCCCCTAAAAATTTTGAATAAATAAATTAGAAAAATATTGCTTTTGCAAATTTTCCTTATGTACTGCAAACAAAAAAACTTAATGAAACGGCTTTCTTTGGCAAATATTTAGTTTCTATTTTGAGGGTGATAATAAATAATTGTTCAAAAATATGAAGCAAACTTTTACATGCCCAGCAAAATGTGAGCACGCTGATCAACAGATGAAAATTAATAGTAATTAAATTATTTTCAATTAATCGCTTTTTTGCTCAATAACAAATCTCGTACTCCTATGTAGAATACATTTAATATACTGTTGTGCTTTAAAATGGTACTAGCGAGAGCTAAATTAAATCTGTATTGCTCATGATTTAAGGGCCAATCAAAAAACCTGACAAGTGAGAAGCAACGAGAATTGTTAGAAGTTATATTTGCTCTTTGCCAGAAAACAATCTGCTCACCGATTCAATTATATTTTTAGGATACTTTTAGTCTGCATGCAAAAATGCATTGTTTCATGAAATAAATCTTTTCATCTGCCAAAAAATTTCTCTCTCTCTCTCTCTCGCTTACCGAGATAAAACAGATCAATATCGTAACCAGGATTATCTTTTTTTCTTTCTGGAATTACTAGATGAAGTTTTACTTTTTTTTTCTTTCTTTTCTTCAATTATCGGTACGTTTTACTTCCTCTGCTTGGCATCGCAATGATATAGCACCAGCCTACATTACTTGAATGCGTGCCGTTTTGCTAAAAAAACGAGTCAAATCAAGTAAATAGTATGATTCTATGCATTATTTGCTAAAAAAAAAAAGAAAAAGTCCCAAGGTAAATCATTAATCTATGTCGCATTTATTTTTATTTATGAACATCATTACATTGAACGATAGCCGATGTCACAAGTTGATTAATTAAAAAAAGAATTCACTAGCTGTGTCGATTGAATTGTTTCAACGTCCAAATACACGTACATACATACTAGTTTAAGCTAGAATAATTTCTCTCGTAAAGTGGAAAACGTTCATGAATAGTCATTCGATTAACTCGTAGAATCTTCAACCATGAATACGTCGTTCAATTTCTGTCTGGATTTGCTTTTACCAGTCAGTAATACATAATTGATAGCAGTTGATAAAAGACTTAAGTTCTTGATTTACTCGTGTTTTATAAAAGTAGTGAACTTTGTCATTTACACATTACTACACAATAAAATTCATGATATTAATGCTTATCAAAACCAATGAAGTCGTACAAATTACTCTAAATATTAAACCTACAAATAGACCATCATATAGCGATTTTTAAGTTAGACTATGGCAAAACAATCAAGAATAGTCAGTACATATTTCTCGGTTAGATAGACGTATTTGATACTACATTGAAAGAAATCCTGAGTAGTATTCAATTAAATCAAGAAAATACCGATTCTGATTTTTAGTTCATTCGAGAAATCTGTGTAACTAGCCAGGTCAGATTCTGACGATATTTTTTCACTTCTCCTTCATTATATCTCACAACTCTATCTTAAAAAATGTTATGTTCAGTCAGAAAAATATTGAGTTGAATCAATGAAATTATCGGAACTTAATTATGGATCATTCCATTGATGTTGCGAATGTATGAATTCTATTTGTACATCTATTAAGGTAGTATTTCAAAAAGTGAATAGAAATCGTAGGCATTTAAGAAGAAGAAAGAAGTCTCTCTAATTTTATTTGTTATTACTATGATTGTGCTAGCCGAGACAATACAGTATAAAGGACCTAAATTAAACGAATCACATATTCGTTTTTACAATTTCAGTGCTTTTTTAACACTGAAGACAGGAGGATACATTGTAGAAAATCATGGTCGCCGGATATTCCGAGCCATCTCGAAGTACAAAAGTGCTTTCGAGTGCTCGCCCATGTTATCATAGAGTACACTGATGTTAAGATAGGAAGTACTCAGTGAGGGATGATTCGGAGGGAGAGTTATTTTCTTCATTTCAAGTGCTTGCTCAAACCATGGAAGTGCTTTTGAGTACTTCCCCATCTGCATAAACACCCCACCGATGTTGTTGTAAGAAACAGACAATTCTGGGTGATTTGGAGGTAGAACTATTTTTCTTATTTCTAGTGATCGTTCGTACCATGGAAGTGCTTTCGAATAATTGCCCATGTTATCATACACTAGACCGATGTTGTTGTAGCAACAGGCTACGTCGGGATTATTCGAAGGAAGAGCTATTTTGGTTATTTCAAGTGACTGTTCGAGCAATGAGAGTGCTTTAGAGTATTCGCCCATGTTATTATACAACAAACCGATGTTGTTGTAAGAGACGGCCAAATCAGGATGATTTGGAGAAAGAGCTATTTTGGTTACTTCAAGTGATCGTTCGTACCATGAAAGTGCATTTGAATACTTGCCCATTTTCTTATAGACGTCGCCAATATTATTGTATACAGTGGCAAGCGAAGGATGATTTTGAGGGAGAGCCATTTCGTATATTCCAAGTGCTTTCTGATGCAATAAAAGTGCTTTTGAGTATTCGCCCATTTTCATATGCAGTAACCCGATATTGTTGTAGGAAGTAGCCAACGAGGGATGATTCGATGGGAGAACTTTTTTCCTGATCTCAAGTGATCTTTCGTATGCTGATTGTGCTTTCAAGTACTCGCCCATGTCACTGTATACACAGCCAATATTGTTGTAGCAAAAAGCCAAATCTGGATGATTCGGAGGGAGAGCTATTTTGATTATTTCAAATGATCGTTGATACCACGAAAGGGCTTCAGAGCACTGGCCCATTTTAAAATACAGTTCGCCGATGCAGTTGTAAGAAGAAGCCAAGTCGGGATGATTCGGAGGAAGAACAATCTTCTTGATCTTAAGTGATCGTTCATGCGATTCAAGTGCTTTCGAGTACTCACCTATGTTCGCATACACTAGGCCGATGTTATTGTAGGTAACAGCTAAAGAAGGATGATTTGAAGGGAGAGCTATTTCACTGATCTTTAAATCTTTTTCGTAATACAACAATGCTTTGGAGTAATCACCCATTTTATAATACACCCCAGCCATGTTGTGATAGGAAATAGCCAGTTCGGAATCATTCGGACTGGCAGCGAGTTTTTTTATTTCAAGTGATCGTTCGTGCGATGCAAGTGATTTCGAATATTCGCCTGTACAACAATACACCAGGCCAATGTTGTTGTAGTAGAAAGCCAATTCATGATAATTAGGTGAAAGATCTATTTTCCTTATTTCAAGTACTTGTTCATACGATACAAGTGCTTTCGAATATTCGCCTGTATAATAATACACTCTTCCGAGTTGAACATTGTAATGTGCTCGTTCTTTCTCAGAGGATGATTCCCGAAGAAGTGTTCTATAGAGGTGTTCAGCTTTTGATGATTTGCCCGCGCGAATAAGTATATCACCAAATCGAGACCAACCTTTAGTCCAAGTTAATTCTCGGCGTAATTGTGATGTAAGCTTTACTAGATCATGATTATCATTGCCTACAAGTGTGAGATTGATCTCCCACAGTCGATCAGTATTGTCATCGGGAATATGTTCGATTCCATCAATGCGAAATATACTATGTGTTGAAAAAAGAATTTCTTGCTCGTTGTCTCCAAAGGATCCAACGTTTTTAACATCGACGAACGGTACTGATGATGTTTCGCAAATTTTTGGATCGATGGTCATCACGAAAAGTACACCCAACGACTTTGAATCTTTGCTAATGGCTATTGAATCTGCAAAAACAAAAGAGACCTGACGCTCAAGACTTGTGGAAAGAAAGTTGTTGAATGACATAAGTCCACCTTTGGTTTTTTTCATTTTTTCGAAATCATCCGACGATAAACCTTGCCCGCGGAAGACTCGAAAGGGAGTCACATAGGTCTTAGTCGATTGTTGCTCACAGTATAAGGCTTCAATATCTTTGTGTAAATGTCGAATGAAAAAACTCATCTTAAGTATAATATCGACATCCATTAGTCGAAGAGCACGATTAAGCATCGAATAGATAAAGTATGGAGTTGTATACCACCAAATAGGTCTATGTTGATGGTATTCACGTTCAAATTTGTCGATGTCGTCTTTATGAATATTACCTTGAAGACGACAATACTCAATGAGTTCTCTAATTGATTTATCATCGTCGTCTTCTATTTCTAAAAGTGCTTCTTTAAATAATTGAGTATACATAAATAATGGATCAATACCATTAAAACTCATTGATATCATGGCTCGATCACAATGCCCAAGGTGAACTTTGAGTGTTTCACAAATCGGTTCAATTTGTGTGTATACACCGCTGACCTTCGATGTTACGTGAGCATACTGCTCATAAGTTGATGACCTATCATCGAGAACATAAATCGAATTCAGTTGTGTCCAAGTATGAATTTCTACATCCGATATTAGATGTCTTCCAATTGAATCAGTTACAATCAAGAATACTTTTTCATCTTCAATATCACTGATGAAATCAACACACTGTTCAACATCTTTGAACGTTGTGATAGACGCTACAATATTTCGTATAAGTTGTATTGACCTTTGGAAGTCTTCTTTAGATTCATCAAAATTAGTATCGAGCCAGACAAGAAGAAAATTTTGGAGAATTCGAGGTATTTGCTGGGAAAATGCACTATTTTCCTTCATCATTTCAGTTGTTCCACTGTTACTAGCAGTAGCAACAGAAGGACTACTTGTTGATGATTGATTCGTAGTAGCGGAAGAAGACAACTCACTAGCCGTTGATGTTGATTCATTTTTATTCATGGTTATGACGATGAAATATTTTTATGAAGAAATGAAAACAAGTGAAACAAACACAAAACAGATTTTGTCTCTCTACTAATGTGTGTTGCTTTCTTTTTTTAGTGATACGTTTTGTAGTTTGTTTGCTATAGGCTTCGAACACCACTCGTCTCAGTTGTTTGTTTTGTTTGAAGATTGATGCTGAAGAAACGAAAGCTCGCTACACATAGAACAAAGGGCAAGAAAGAAGAAGAACGAAAAATCATAATAGTAATTTTAAGCATTTTTTCACATAGCTGTTAACTGCTTCGTAGGATGAAACGAGTTAAATTACTTAGTTTCATGTGTCTAATAAGGAAGCAATGCTCCTAGAATTTTAAACTAGTTGCGAATAGTATCGTCAATGATATATATTGCCATGTTACTCATATCAGAACGTGCTCATAATTTCTTTAACTAGTACACTACTAGCCGCACATTCTGATTAGTTTCTACAGAATTTATTCTACAGAAATAAACTGTTTTGAGTTGAACCTGTGAATTTGTCCACTGATGGATACCAGACATAAGTGACATCTAGATGGAAACCAGTAATGTATTGAGTAGAAACTTTGCTATGTTATTTACATTTAGAGTATCTTCAATAAATATTGATTGCAATATTCTTAAAGATTATTTAATTATAGCTAGTTTGAAAATAAAAAGAGCAGTATAAACGATTATTGAAACTCATTGACAGTGCTGCTGATTCAAGTGTGGTTAAAATTTAGTATAGTTACACAAAACTAGGAATATTATATTCTATCCATGTGCAGAATAGGAATTCATCTGTTTTTCGTTCATAATTTTTGTTGTTTTATTCTTTTTAAATAGATTAGTGTTAGAACCCTTCTAGTTGAAATACAATGCAGTCTCCATTCGAGGATAATGCTAATTCTCGAACATTGTGAGTAGACTTATTATGAAATATTCTTTGTTTTTTCATTTACTTTTTGTCGCAGATATGTTGGTAATCTTGACCCATCTGTTTCGGAAGATCTTTTAATGGCTCTGTTCTCACAAATGGGAGCATGCAAAAATTGTAAAATCATTCATGAAGCATGTGTTTCGTTGTTGGTTTATCTTTTTTACTTATGAATAATATTTCTTTCAGCCAAACAGTGATCTATATGCGTTTATTGAATTTGCTGAACATCAACCAGCAGCTAATGCTCTACTCGCAATGAACAAACGTTTAGTTATGGGTAGGGAAATTAAAGTGAATTGGGCAACGACATCAGCAGGTACTACAAGTAAAATTGATACAAGCAGTAAGCCTATTTTTTTCATTAACGTATTCGCAGGCGTGTTCGTTTTTTTGCTTTTTGTCTAGAACATTTTCACATATTTGTTGGTGATCTAGCGCCTGAAATCGATCAAAACACATTACGTGAAGCATTTTCACCGTTCGGAGAAATTTCGTAAGAAACCAGTATGAACATTGCTTTTCTTCTTAAATAACTGTTATTTTAAAGAGAAATCAAAATTGCTAAATTTACTGATACACAAAAACCAAAAGGTTTATTTCATAGTTTAATATTGACGAAGTTAATTCTTTTTAAATGTTATTTCATTTTAGGATATTGCTTTATATCTTTTGCCAATCAGAGTGTAAGTAGATCACTGCCAAGAAAACAATGAATTCATGGTTATTTCCAGGATGCAGAAACAGCTATTACCAGTATGAATGGTCAGTGGCTTGGCACACGAAAAATACGTACAAATTGGGCAACAAGAAAAGGACCCAGCAACGAGCCTACAACTGCTACACGAAGTCGAGGTACGACCTTGGAATTTAAAATGTTAACAGTGACTTTATTTCTTAAGTCAGATAAATATTTCTTCGAGACGTTTAAAGAAATCAAGCAGATTGTTTATAAATGAAATCTATTTTTGCTCTGATCTAGTACTAGCATAGGAAAAAATAAAAGTTAATGACTTAAATTTTGAAAACAATAATAAGTCTCGTAATGAAATATTTAGATTCAAATACTTCTCAATATGGTCAAGAACTTTCGACATCCAAACTTGATTTTAATGAAGTATGGAAAAGAACGAGTGATACAAATACGACTGTATATTTTGGTAATTGTGGTGATGTCAATGAAGATTTAGTTCGTTCGTGTTTTGAACGATACGGTCAAATAGCAGAAATACGTGTATTCAAAGAAAAAGGATACGCATTTGTCCGGTAAAATTTCTTAAATTTTAAAATAGCAAACAAAAAATAATAATTTCGTATGATAAGATTTGCAAAAAAAGACAATGCTTGCCAAGCTATTTGCCATATACATGGTTCAAATGTTCATGGTCATACAGTCAAATGCGGTTGGGGACGCGATGAATCAGCGAATACTAGCAATAATGTATCGAATTATAGCGGTAGTATGAATAATCAATATGATTCTGTAAGTATAATAAATCAAAGATAAAAATCAAAGCATTCAATTAAATAATTTCAGTGTTCTCAAAATTCTTACGGCCCACCAGCCAATCAGAACTATATGGGTTTGTATCTTGTGACCGAAAATTAATTTTTGCATTATTTTTTCAATTAAAGGTGGCGGTGGTGGTAATAATCCTGGTTATGGCAAGTATGGTGGTAATTATCAACAGCCAAATTATCCGCAACAACAGTACTATAATTCTCAACAACAGTGGAATAACAATGAACAACAATCGTGGGATCCTTATCCGCAGTAGGACTAAGCAAAACGTCAGCTTTCTCTTTTAAGTCTTTTATTCCTATAGGTCTGCCACTGGCGGTTGGAATAATAGCAATAATAACTCCAATAATTATCCACCTAATTCCAATCAATATCATGATCAACAACAGTCCTACATGTATTCTTCTAATTCAGGTATACTAACAATCATGTTAAAATGAATACATGAAATTTTTATTTTCAGCTTGGGGCCCATCACAACGCTGATCTACTGCACCGAAAAATATTTTTCTTGATCGGAAATGACATATTTTGTGTTTTACAAGAGAGGATTCATTACATTCAACTAATTTTTCTTTCTATTTGTAATTTGTTTTGTGCAGATCACATTATTATTTTTACTTTACTCTCTCTCTCTCTCTCTTTCTCTTCCATTCGCGCGCGCGTTTTGTACGGTCTCACATCGAATCTTAACTATCTCCTTTATTTGTTTTTGAATGGCCGTCATAGACGCTTTCTTTTTTTGTTTGTTTGTTTTTCTTTCTACATATAGCAAAAACTTTTTTTTTGGTGTTTTTGTTTTTTGTCTTTTCGAATTGTACAACAACCTGCCCGACGACAATGACGATGATGATGATGATGATGATACTGAAAGAAAAATAACGACCTAGTAGAAAAATATGTTTTTCCATTCATGATCTATGCGCATGTTGCCTATGATATCAAAAAGTTGATGGTAAAGAACATTTCTTTATGATTCTATACGATGAGAATGATTATGATCAAATTACGTCGATGGATAAAGTAATAAGAAAATAATAGTGGGTGTGTCAGTTGCTATTTTGACAATGAAAAATGAGATACGAACGAAAGATTTGTGCACATATGTTTAATATCAAACGCAAAGAACAGTTGAATTGCTTGATATAAGCAGTAAAGGCCTTGGATAGAAAAAAGATAACCGACGTCAATAAAAAAAAAAGTATTTTTAATAAACATAGTAAATATATATGGTTTATTCGTAATTAAAATAAATGAGTAGAAATAGCAACTAGTTTTCAGTACTCTCATCTCAAGTCTGGTTGACACTGTATTTGTTGACATGTTTAGCTAAGCTAACGTGCTGTACTGATTTATTAATATCGGATTTTATCTTGAAAAATAAAATTTCGATGACCTCTACTTTACACGTTTGTTCTACGTAATCTTTTTGAATATTTCATAGTCAGATGTACATTATCAAATTCAAGTTAACACGAATTCTAATCTTTTCTTTTTCGTCAAGAGTTGCATTTGCATGTTCTTTTTTTTTTGAAATTTTGTTTAAGAGGACAGATTCATTTCGTACATTCTAAAGCAAAACTCAACGAAAAGATTGCTTTTTCATAAGATAAACAAAATGGTACGATACTATAAGGCTTTGAGTAAATATTTTTCTTCAGTGTAAGCAATATCACACACAGATTTAATCGGTTCATGAATATTTGTAAATATAGATCAAGGTTGATGTTTTTTGCATTCTCTTATTTTAGTTGTTCATTCAGCCATGAGAGCAAATAAATCAAGAAGAATTTCTTTTTCTTCCAAACATTTCATCATCCCGAACCCATTTAAGGCTGAATTATTCCATGCATAGATTATTTATGCTTCACGTAAATTATGGTAAATATCGAAAAGGTTAAGTTCGTTTGAAAAAAAACTAGAAAAAAAGTTCCCATGTGACCGCAGCAATATTTAGTCTCTTTCTTTTCAGATAGAAAAAAAAGTAAAATCATCGATATAGATTATAACTACTTGCCGTCTCTGTCGACAACGCAGATATACGAACTTTCAGTGCACTTTGTAAGTATCCCAACGCATTCGCGCACTCTACGACTGAATTCAAGTGATATCAGTAGGTTGATTATGTTTTTTTTCCCGCGACCATATTGCCGGCGGCCAACATGTCGAATTTTTTCATGTGCATTTTTTTTCGTCTTGGCTCCAATCCAGTCTATCGAATATAAACGTTATATTCTGATGAAACAAGCTAGAGAGAGAGAGAATAAGAGAAACAAAATGCACCAATCAGCATGCATACGAATAAACACACCTCCTATTTCTTTTCTCCTTTCTCTCATCATTTCATCATGCTATCTCTATTAACAATGATGTTATAAATACACACGATGACCCTTTTTTTATTCATATTTATTACAAAAACTAAAAATCCAAGCAACATACACAGCTATTTGCAATCATAATGGACTTTTTCCGTAAGTTTTCTTTCATATGTGCAAATGTTGTTCATTATCGTTTGTCATGTTTTATATAATAGACGTATTGAATAATCTTCAAAGTAAACTACTGAATTTAACAGTAGGACAACTACCAAAACGAAAACAGTATACACTTAAAGATGTTTCCGCACATTGTACTGAAACAGATTGTTGGATGGTAATACGAGATCGCGTTTATGATTTAACAGATTTTATGCGAGAAGTAAGTTATTAAAATTAATTTCCATGAGCAATATTTTCATTTTTTGAAATTTTCATTTTTTTAGCATCCAGCTGGCTCTGACATAATGCTTGAATATGCTGGAACAGATGCAACTACGGCATTCTCTGACAAACCTCATAGTTTAGATGCATGGGTTATATTAGAAAAATATTTAATAGGCGAATTAGTGCCAGAAGAACGGATGTTTGATGATGATTATTCATCTTAGAATTTATTCGTATAGATTTTTCTGTAATTTTTAAAGAAAACTTTTGTACAGTGAATTTTTTCACGCATCCGTGTATATAATGTAAAGATAACTAGCTAGGTTATATTTTACCCATTTTTCTTCTTTTTTTTGTATTGACTTCATATCGATTTTTTTCGTATGCAATAAAAACGATAGCGGTGAAGTTGTTTGAAAACGATGTCTGTTTAATTCTAACAAAGAAAGATTATTTTACAAGAAGGAACAGAAATTTGAGATGAAGCCAAAATATAATAAGTTCGATTCGTTAGATGCAATGTGTTGCTTTTTCCCGCTCTTCTCTCCTACGAGGAACAAAGCAAATATGTTGATAACAAGAAACGAATATTCAGTTGGTTGGATAATTGCCAAGAAAAACGAATGCAATTTTGAATTGAGAACAAATAGTATCTGTTTGTTTGATTCAGGACACTTTCTGTTTTTCGTCCAATCGTTGTTAATGTTTTGAGAGTGTACCTAGTTACCTGTTGATATATAAGTTGAACGTGTATTAATGTTCGTTAGAAAAATAGAAGACGGCCTGATTTTTAATTAACATAATGTTTTTTTCTTATAGAAATTTCTGCTAATTTGTATTAGACTAAATTGTTCTTTTTATAAAACATAGGAAACCATGATGCCCCGGTATTTAGATACAACTTTTTTATTTTCATATGTCAACTCTTGAGATGATATTTCGAATCAATCACCTATGAATTATAGATTTTCGATTAATATTGATTAATTAAAAATGGGTGGTCTTGACATGATGTGAATGTACTCTGTACGTCTGTTATGAACAGTACCGAAGTATTAAAAAAATATCTATGGTTACCAGCTGGCACAAAACCCTCAATTATACTTATTGAAGCCACAATACTTTTCTTTTTTTCTGCTATAAGTAAATATTTACATTGAAATCTACGAAAGAAAATAAATATATTTTTTCAATAAACTTTACCGCAATCAGTATATATCAACGGCAAAAAAGCAAACAAAGGAGAAAAATATTAATGTTGAATTCCATTTTATGGTATAACTTGAACATAGGGATCTTGACGAAATGACGCCGGAATACGTTTACCAAAGGAATGTTTGGGTGAGGAACGTCTGTTAGAAAGAAATTTACTTTCATCATGAGCACCCGGACCTGGTGTTTTGTCTGATTGTATAAAAATAGAAAAATATTATTAACTATTTCAAGGTTAAAAATTAACTCAGAGACGAAACTTACCGGTTGATTGATTAGTTGATATTTGCGTCCCACCGACTCGTGATTTCAAAGTAATTGGTGTACTTTTTGCTGTTAATTTTCTGAAAGCTGTTGTTGTATCATAGGTGTCAGGTGCAGGATTATTTTCTCTTATCAATGGTGGACTACTCAGAGAAGGTGCAGCAAATGACCATGCTGGGAAAGTTTGCTTTGTTGCTTGAGAGCCTATCGTAGGTTGTGCTTGGTAATGAACTGGTGTTGGCCATGCAGTTTCACGATTAAAATCAACTTTTATTGTAAATGGATTTGGGCTAGAAAACCATTGTTTTTGCCAGGCGGTACGTGAACCACCTTCTATATAAGAAAATGTTTTTTGTAAGATTTTTTTGCGTTGTTTGATTTTCAAAAAACATACGTTTTTCAACTAAGCATCTCGTTCCAAAACTATATGCAGGAGCATTTTTTTCTCTACAGGATTTACGTGGCAAGACATAGGAACATGGTGACGGGCTACCATTGTCTTCAATATATTGTACAATAAAATGACCAGTAATTGGATGAAGATGTACTGGCTTTTCTCTAAATAATTACCTTATTATAATTTGATTTAGTTTAAAGATAAAATTTGTAGGCAGAATTCTCTTTTTTTTGTCAGAAAACAATGTCTTCATAATCGCGCGTGATGGTAATTTTCACACGGGTTTAGTCAGGATGAAAAAGAAATCAACATATGCAGAAAGAGAAATGTCCCTGGCAAAGGTCACATTATCATAATTGAACTCCAGAACTTATGGCGTGAAAGATTATGAATTCAAAATAGGGAATAAATAAGATTTGATTTTCAAAATTAAACATTTTATAATCTATCAGTTATTTTCTCTACATACCTATACATAAGAGAGATATCTGATGGTAGTGCATGAGGAGTTTCTTCTCGTAATGAACTAGTACGATGTGATGACGTTTGATTTTGAGTATCTTCTGGTGACGTTGTTGGACGTGATTCATTTCGATTTGTTTGCGCTGTTGTATCCGTTGAATTTCCTAATTCGATTTGATAATTTTCCGATCTAACCGGTTCATATTGTAACGAAGGACCTTTGAATCCTGCTCGTTGTCGTTTGACTGCCATACGTCTTGGGACTAATAGGCTTTTATTTTTTAATAAGGTTTCAGAAAATTTTTGATAATTTCCTTGACGTTTCGATACTTGATAGGCAAAATCTTGTGCTAATGTAACTAACGATATGTTGTGTACATCTTTTACCATCGGGGTCATAGTTGTCATTGTTGGTACTGCTAAATCAATAGTATGCTTTAATTTAGCTGTTGCCGTACGACTTCGAAGGTATTTCGAAGGTAACGGCTCTGCTACGCGAGTCATTGTATTGAATTCAACGGGGCTTTTTTCAGGTATCGAAATGCTAAATGACATCAACGTGTGATTTTGTTTTAGAGTTGCTTGTCAATGCATACATTCAACAACTTTCTTTGTTTCTGTTTTCTATTTGAAGAAATTTCAACTCGAAAGAATTGATTAGTTACATACTAGAGAAAGAAGAACAAAGGAATGTACATAAAAGACGAATAAACGTACTTTTTCTTAATGGAGAACAAATCTATTGAGAAGAAAATTTGTAACTTTTATAATGAATAAAAAAAAAATTAATTGGTGAAATCATTCCGAGATAATTTTCGATAGGAGAGTTTTTTTGTTGTGTGTGTTCGATTATTTAATTAGATTTCTTTTTCGAGTCAACTTGTCACCGAATATGATGTATGCAAAAATAGAATACAGATACGTGGGCGTAGAGCAGATAGACTATCTGGTACGGCATGTGCGTCATTCTGACCTCATTTAAACATGCTGTGCTACATAGAGTGCATGAAATAGTGTTTGGAGTATGAATATTGATCAATTGAATATTGTCACATGTTTTGCAAATCAAAAAGAGAAAATTGAAGGACAAATTTTTATTTATGACAAATAAAACTTGTTTCAGATGTTTTACTATGACAATGCATTGCAATTGAGATTTTTTTCTCCTTAGTTTTAGAGCGAAAATATAAATAATTAATCATGTAGAGTGTCATAAACACCTTCGTTTTTTTTCTATCGAGTGATAATATAGAAGTTTTGAAAGCAGAATTTTCCCCCTTCTAATAATCGATTGAGGATTCGCAAGTTGCATTGTCATTTAGTTACTGCCCCGCCCTATTTCATTCTTTCGTCAAATGCAGCTGAAAATTTTCTCGGTGGATATATTACATAGCACTATAGCATTAGACCGTTTTGAAGCACAGCTGAATTTAAAAAAAATAATAGTTGTAATCAAATTTTTATATTTTCAAATAGCCTTTAGGAAACTGATTGATTTGCTTGGGGCGGGCATAAATGTGTTGTAAACAACTTTATTGCACTCATAGTAGAGTTTTTTTAAAGGCTAATATTTTTAAGCCATTTTTTTTCCTGCTTCTCAAGAATTGTAATCTTGTTTTTAAATAATAATAATAAATTAATTCGAGATATGCCAAGTATTTCTCAGTTTTGTTTACAATTTTTTTTTCTTGTGGATGCGCTGATTATGGGTAAATGGTAAGATTTCTTTCAACATACATGCTTGTAGAGTGAACAGTTTTCTATAAAAATGAGACGTTATAACAGTTTTACGAAAGGATCAAAAGCCGAGACTGTCAATCTCGGTACATCTTTAAATAGCAATTAAAAGAAATATATGATCAATTCTAATTAACAAACATTTCTTATTGATATGAACAAAAACAGAAAATAAAAACGTATGAAGAATATTGACTTTAGCCTATCCTGATTGATATCTCATTAATAGCAATTGTTTTCTTCTCTCTGCAGTCGTATTCGCTATGCCGAAATTTAAAGTTCACTGTTGCCTAGATAATTAAGCAAGTTCCGTTACTCAATTCTATTAACAATGGAACGGTCTGTGCTCATAAGCAAGCCAGGCGGTCGTGCGAGGTGAAAATGATCACATTCATTGAGAAATTAATGAATTAAAAATATGAGCTGCTGATGGCTTACGTGAACCGAGCTATCTGATTTTTAACGTATTGGCAGCATACCTAATTTGTCTACTATTGAAAAAAATTTATCTTTCTTTTTCATGATGGTTCGATTGAGTTCAATGAGTTGTATAAGAAACTCTATAGTTCAAAGATTAAATATTAATTTTGAAAAAAAATTCCAGATACCCTAATTTGTCATCATAACAGGATATAGACCTAAAATTCTGATTTTCCTCAAAATTATTTTTTCAATTTTTGTAACATGTTTTTTCTGATGTAACTTATTAACGTCAGTTCAACCATGGTGAAAAAAGAAAGATAAATTCTACTAAAATTTTCAATAATATACAAATTATATATACTGCCAATACGTTAAAAATCAGATAGCTCGGTCCACGTAAGCCATCAGCAGCTCATATTTTTAATGCATTAGTTGCTCAATGAATGTGATAATTTTCATCCCACACGACCATCTGGCTTGTTTAATAGCGCAGATCGTTCCATTATAAGCAAATAAAAGCAAACGAACTTCTCAATTATGTTTAAAGGTTTAACATTTCATTATCAATTATATGATCAACCATGTTTGCTTGTGATCCAAGTAGAAGAATTTCTGCATCATAACACATTTTTAGTCGTACTTCATCTTTAATACCATTGCACATTTTTTTATGATAAAAATGTCTGAAACCTGGTTCAACCGCACGAAATATATAACATTCAGTGGAAGCATTAACAAATCTTTGGAATAGATTAACATCTTCGTCGCCCCAATATTGATTGCTCGTTTCCCATCCACCAATTCTCTCTAGATCTCGTTTACGTACAGCTACATTTCCAAAGCCATAAATAGAAAATAAACCCGAATCTTTGTGGACAGCGATCATTGAACGATTATTAGTAGTAAATTTTGCCGAGAAAGAAGAAAATATGATCGGAAAATACACTGCACACGATGATACGGATGATTGATGAATCATTATATGACGAGTATTAATTAAGGCTTGTCTTGTAAATTTAATATCTACATCAAGAAAAAACAGTAATTGGTTACTTGGAAAATCTTTTGATGCTAAGTGACGACCAAATCCACGATTATATGGATATTGAGTACCATTAACAATCATTAAACGAATACATGATGGATATCTGACGGATAAAATTTCTATTTGATTAATTATGGAATTTTTCTGATGAAAATAAAGTATTGTTAAAGTAAAATCCTGCTGTAGATCAGGATAAGTGAGAATTTCTCGTTGAAAATTGCGAATTAATCTTGATAATGCTTGATCTTTATTACTGGAAACAACAATAAGATTTAATTTATGTTCTTCTTTTCTAGAATTAAGATTGGTTATTTCTCGAAAATCAAAATTGTTCTTATGAACGAAAGGTTGACGTATATGAAATCGTTTTCGAACAATAGTTGATCGAGACGGAGAAAGACTAACCGTACGAACATTAAGAAATACTTCAACTATTAGTTCTAAACCATGTTGTGGTATAACACGATGATAACCTAATAGAAAATTACCACTAACCACCGTCCAATTACTAGATTGCCGATGCCAAAGTTGTTTTAAATGCTCTAAATGCAATTGAAAACTTGTATTAATGTATGATTTCCAACGTGCATCGATTAATTGATAATGTATATCACGTACGAGATCGAATTCTATAGCGTTTAAAAACGTAACGTAATTTTCTCCATTCGATGGTTTCCATAAAGGGAAATTTACATTTCTTTGCTGTTTTCGTTTATAAAAATTATAGATTTGTTGAAATACAGTTCGATTGCGCATTGGATGAAGAGTAAATGCAGGAGAAACAATCGATGGTGTAAAATCATGCCCAAATGAATAGTGCGGACCGTAATGATGATAAAATAAATATTTCGAATTATATGCATTCGTACAATCAATATTAACATGCATTAAAATACATCGACCTAGCTCGACATCTTCATGATTGGTGCGAAGTTCGAATTTAAAACATTGATCAAGCCAAGGTCCTAATTGTATAAGAGTTTGTTGCGAAAGAATAACGCCACTTCCGCCCATACAAAAATACTAAAAAAAACATACGAACAAATGAATGTAAAATCAATGGTTTCTTTTTCTTTTCTGTTTACCTTTCCGGGAGCAAAATGTATGGTCGATTCACTTTTCCTACCAGTTCCTCCTTGTCCTATATATAAAGCTCGTTGATGATCAATTGACTTAAGCCATATAACTAAATCAGGAATATTGACATAGGCATTATCGTCTAATCGTAATATCCATGATGTTCGATGTTGATAAAATGAATAGAGAAATTTCATGGCATAAAAACTTTTCTTTTGTGGTGGATATTCATTTTCCACATGTTTTAATTTCACAATAAAAAAACACGCTTGAATATGTTTATTAGATTTTGAAAATAATTTTTCTATAAATTCTTCTGTACCCTCGTATTGTTCTTCGAGAAATATAATTACTTCGATTTCGATTGTTGCAGTTAATAGCCATGTTTCAAATATAGCTGGTAGATATTCGTATAGACGGTCATGTGATGATAGAACAGCAATAGTTAAGAATATTTTCGATGTATGATTTTGACACGTATGAGTTGTTCGATATTGAAAATGATTGTAGAATGATATTGGCTTTCTCATTGTTGGTTTTGGAGAAGACAAGGAAACTATCGATGAACAATCATTACTCGTAATGAAGTCCCAATAATGTAAACCAAGAAAAAAACCAATAAAAAAGAAGCATACTATTATGATACGATGGTTCCAACGAGTGAATGCGATTCGCGGCATTCATCGTTTATTATACATATTTAAAAACCATAATCATCCTTGTTTGTCTAGAATAATAAAAAAAAAAGTATGAACGATAGAGACAAAAAAAAAAATTCCAACATGTTTTTCTTTCATCTATTGAATACAAAAATATCTGTCGGCCATTGAAAGACTTCTAGTGAAAGAGAAACGAACTGAAGTATGTAAGATTTCATGGCAAAGAGTTTTATTTTTTTGTTAAATATGTCGAAGATCAAATTCATAGCAGAGACGAAAAGAAAAAAAACCTAATCGATAAGGTGTGAAGACTAACTAATACGTTTCGTAGTCGCTAAACTTGATATGTTATTAGTCAAATGAGAATACTGATGCGTCTATTTTGGATTTCGAGCTTCGCAAAAGTTTTTTTCTTCTTCTTACGATAAATTTGCACAGCGTGTAATGCATGCCATGCGATTTCTTAAGTCAATAAAGCAACACATATTTTGTTCTTCTCTTTCGAGGTTTGTTTTGATAAAAACGATGGAAAAGATCAGTCAGTGACTGAGAAAATTCCATTCGAGTTCGATCAACATTCAAATTCGAGTATCTATATATTTAATATTTTAATATGAAAAAGAATTTTTTAGTATTATTCAACAAATTAATTTTTTCTTTTATATTTAATTGTGATTCGTAATAAACAAAGGTTTTTTTTTCAATCAAGCACTTCCATCTCCATTGAAATCAAGAATAACTACTTCCACAGTACGTTCCGTTATTGTTGACCTACCGTACGTATTATGTATCGCTCTTCATTAGCTGCTAATCGATATGTTGTATAGCATAATTTTTATTTTCTTCGTCTTCTTCTCTTTCCTCCGCCTTATACAAATATTGGATTAATGAAAAAAGGAAAAATTCGACCGAAGTAAAAATGTGGCTCAAAATTGTTGGAGAATAATTTTCTATTTCGAATCAAATTTTCGAACGAAAAACCAATTGAAAAAAAAATAGTGATTTGTACATGCAAAACGAACAATAGTAGAAAAACTTCATGTTAGCAACTGCATTGACAAGTGAAAATAATTAATCGTAATTTCTATACATGAATCGTTGATTTGCAGCCGTACAGAAACGAATAACAATCATTATTTTACTAAATCAAGGACTTCAACGAGATGAAAGATCGAATACAAGGAGGAAAAAAAACGAGATCAAGTTACATGTTTGCCGAAAACGCCAGAGAACATGGCCATGATTATTTAATTCTCATAATATTACAGATGTACACGCGATCATATTTTACACATTCGTTTATATCCATTCTTTTTTAACTTACGCGGAATATGATTTGAGTCTTACATATCGTTAGATGAATGAAATTTTTTTCGAACGCATACATCATTTATTTAGACAAGAAAATTCACTAAAACCCTACTTATAAAACACAAAACAAAAGAGGAGAAAGATAAAAATTAATTTAGTCTAAAATGAAGGATATCTTCTTTTGTTATTTGTTATTAATTTGTGGCCGAGTGACATTATGCGTACGGAATAGTTGAAAACTAACCATACCACGCATAGCTCGTGTATCGTGTATAATACCTGGTGCCCAAACACGACATGTGACAGTAATAAGACGAAATAATGGTAGATTTTTAAATTGAACTAGTACAAATGGTTGAACATGATCCGGAGCATTTCTAGTATAGAGGAATAAAATCGTTTTATTTGTGTTTTAGGAAAAATTTACCGATATGGAAAATAATAATTTGGTATAACACCAAATTTTGATGAAACAGGCATGCTTCCAGCCGAATAATATGTCAGATCATGTAGAATATCTCGATCAGCTGGATTCTATGTGAACGAGAAAACAAAAATATACAGTCTTCAGTTGTTATGTTTGATTTTAGTCATTTGGAGAAAAAAAACGAGATTGGTTAAAAAATAAAATAAATCTTGATGGAACTATCTCATTAGCATACATTTATTCAAAATAATTTATCAAATTTCATACCGATCCTTCGCATGTGACGTAAACATCTGGTTTTGATACACTTCTATTATTATAAACGCCTCGGAGTTGCTGTATATTCGTCGGTATATGACCTTTCGGTGGCTGCCATCCATAAACCTAACAAAGCAACAAAAGTATTTTCTATGAATTAAAACCAGCATTGAATACTTTATTTATTTTAACCAGAACGCATGGTTCTTCTTTTTTAAAGCCATACATATTGTTGTCCGAACATGGATGCTGTTGTGTAGGAACAATATGAAACCAATTAAATTGACAAGCTGTACCAGGTATTAAGTCTGACGCTGGGTCTTTCTCAGTACATTCTTCTGCTTTAGCATCATTTTTTTGAATAAGATAAACTAGAAAGATAAATGTTTTTTTTTGTGTAAAAATTATACTGCATTAATTTAGTTAACCATCACGAAATAATCGAAGTGATGATGCAATACGCTTTTGTTCCTGAGGATCATCGGTTACTTGAATAAGACTATCGGTGACATCTGGCTGTGGTCGAAAACCCATGCCGACTAAATGTAAAAGAAAGATTGGCGAAAAATAAAATCATAGATACGAGTTTTATTTTTATTAACAAACCAACAGTAGCGGTCGTTCGTACAGCCATTGTACTTTCTTGATTATAATATCTTGGCACGTCGCGATTAAGAATCATGGCAAATCCGTAAAGTAAAATGACAAAAAAACAGCCCAGGCAAAAGTAAAATACGGTGTAAAATGCGGCTAATCTAGCTGAAATGTAAAACTAAATGAATGATTTTTGATTAATTTTATTTTCTATTTACCCCAATTCAGTGAACTACGGCCAAGTAGTGTTTTTTTATGTGCATCATGAAGAAAACTAAACGCTGATTTTTCTCGAGTTTTACTTCCTGCAAGTGTTGCTTCTTTTTCAGGAACTAATATTTCTCTATTGATGCTTGGTTTGCGAACTTCGGTGTAGGGACTTGGTGGTATAACACGAATTTCACTTGATAGATGCTCAGGTTTAACATCGGCTCCATTCATTTTATCTATTTCGATTTAATAAAATAACAATGTTTGTACTTAAACTGCATTTATGTATTTAACAAAAAAATCACCAAACTCACTCTGATGAGGAATACTTTGTGTTTGTCGTATGTATGAATGCAAATGAAAGTATGATAACGTTTGTATCAATGCAAGTGTATTCAACCGTAACCAAAATATATGTACATGTTTACGCTTTATACACTTTTCTCATGACTGTATAGAGAGGACATAATACATGCATTGATGGTTGAAAACGGGAGGCAATCAGGTTTTTTCTTTGTCGTGTACGGATAAAGCAATAACAATTATACGTCCGTTATTTTTATATAGAGGATTATATCATATAACAAGAAATATGAAGTCTATTGTTTCAATAGCAGTACGCATTTTATGACAATAAATTAAAGAATTCTGTTGTGAAAGACAGTTAATTCCTTGTTTTCTATGGTGACATGGTAGAAATCGATAGTCTTTTATAATATCGGTATCTGTAAGTCCTCTAGATCCATTCATAAATCTAAAAATTCAGATCCATTCATTATCGTTCGTATTGACTTATAATTACACAGGAGTCATTGGTCGATAAATTTAAAATAAAACATATAAACTACAATCGTATAGAGCAATCCTGTTTGTTCTATTTGAATATCTCGACAAAAAAGAATTGATTTTGTTATTCATTTCAGTTTTATAACAGCAATATTTCAGTAATAACAAATTACTAATTAGCGTGCATGTACAATATCGATATTAGAGAAATTAATAGGTGGAAAAAAATAGATGGAAACCTAGAATAGAAGTGCGATAAGCATTGAAGCATGACTTTTATAAATATTTTACTCATTATTAATGAAAATAATGCTTTTGAAATGTGCAGTGTCATAAGTAAGTATGATGATATATCATAACCTAAGTCAGTTTTTGTTAAGATCGAGCAGCAGTAATGCGAACAAACCTAGGTGCTTAAGAGCTTTCAATATGCTTTTGAAATTAATAATGTTTTTTTCTGATAAAAGTTTTTACGATAACTTAAAAAAAATTGATCGTATTTCGATAAATGACTGATTTGACTAGCAAAATAACTAGTGTAAAATAAATATTGTACATAGAAGTGTACTTTATCAAATTTCGAGGTATTTACAATCAATGTCATAAGTTTACACGCCAAAACTTCAACATCATTTTTTTGTCATGCTTGCAGAGAGCACAATTAATTAACTAAAGTTAGAGAAAAAACAATATAATATATTGACAAAAAATGTTTGATCAATCGTCATATATTTACAGCTATAATGATTTTATTTCAATGTAACGGTATTTCTGATTGGTCCATAGATTTGTTTTTCTTACATGACTCATGGAGCGCTATCTGGCCATGAGGAAAGAAATAGATGACGTCAAAACTTTGAAGATTGGACTAATGACATTGAATGTAAATACCTTGAAATTCGAATACATCGATTTCGTACCAGCTCTAGGCAGACTATGTTTTTATATTTTAATTTCTTTTTATTCTTGATTCTTCTTTCATAAACAACAAATTCAAATGAATGAAATGGTATTCTTATGTCATCAAAGACATCTCCCGGTGAAACATATATGATTAATTGTTTTAAAATACAGTACGTGACACTTCATTTTAAACCTTTTAGTGAAACCGTTGCTCCTCTCAACAGAATAGATATGCTGAAAAAACCTTTGAAATTCTCGATGTTTCAAAATTCTCAAATCCTTAGTAATTGCGTAGCTCTCTCACTGCAACACGCTTGAAAGTGAGAAACATAGTTTCCATGAACAAATATTAGGCATTTTTGAAGTACCTACTATTTTCTGTCTCACCACGTCTTTTAAAATGAAAAGATCAAAATATTGATCTATACTCTTAGAAAATGTATGTTTTTTCTTTCTATCTTGAAATAATAAAAAATAGCATACATTTTCCCTGGAATTTACAAAAGAGGCTCTTGACACAAAAGAGAAACCCGCATTTGCAAGGGCGTTGTCAGTCCTTAAGTGTTTCTATTCGCGCGATGGAAAGAGAAAATAACAAACAGCGTACCCACTTCAAACTGTGTCTAATATCCATAAAATAATTTTTCCTTCGGACATCTATATAGCTAGCGAGAAAAGAGAAGGAGCCATCAAGAGAGTTTGTTTTTAACTCGTGTCCTGTCGATACTTTCTACAGAGAAAATTTTGTATTTTATTTTAGTCACACGAGTCGCGTATTTAACTATTTGGCATTATTCATGTCGCAATTAGTTTGCGCAACAAGTAATTGTAAACGAATAGCGCGTGCTCTTTGCCATTGCTGCAATAGAAATATATGCTTATTACATTTGAAAGAGCATAATGATGCGTTTCTTTCACAATTAAATCCTTGCGCAGATGAAATAAATTCAGTTGATTATCGATTAGTTTCAATAGATGCCAAGGTATTACTTCAAGAATATCATAAACAATTGGAAGAATGGCGTAAAGCATCCTATAAAACTATTGATCAAATTTTCGAAGAAAAATCTAAAGAACTTGAACGAATTCTAATAGAGAAAATTGATAAACAAAAAATCGAAATTAATTTAGTACGAGATACTATAACGAAACTTAACGAAGAAGCAGAAGCATCGCAGCTTGATGTTGATTTAATAAAAACAAAAATTTCTCGACTTAATGAAAATTTAACCAATATCGAACAGATATCTTTTAAAATCAATACTTATCCATTGATTATTGATGATAATGCAGTTCAAATTGAAGAAAAAAAAGATCTGCAAACAATCCTTTCGTCACCATTTAAAACAATCGATTTCACTGACCTAGGCTCGCCGATTATTGCCAGTAATAATAAATATTTATTACTTCATCAGAATTCGTATTTATGTTTAATTGATAATGAGTTTAAAATATTCAAAAAAATCCCTTGGCATCTCAAACAAATACACGATATATGTTGGTCATCGGCGCTAGATCGATTTATTCTGACGACGGAAACTTGCGGCATATGTTATGTTCATGAAAATTCAATATCATTACAAGATGTCGAATGTCTTACAAGACAAAGATTTTTTTCTTGTTCATGCTCTAACACATCATTATTTTTAACAACGGATACTGTAGGTTCATCAATCATAGAATTTTGTTTATTACCAACCATAGAACTTAGTAGACAATGGCAATCTCCTGATACGTGTACTAAAGATGAATATATAAACCGTATACGTTATAGTCATGGAACATTAGGATTAGTGATTCAAAATCTTACTGAAAATACCTTAAAAATTGAACTGAGATGTTCTAAGACACTGGATCGATTTTGGTCTATTCCACTTAGTTCAGGTTTGAAACTTAAGCAATACGAGTACTGTGTATTTAATGATTGTCAATGGTTATTTATCGATAGAATCTCATCATCTATTTTACATATTACAAACGATGAGAAAATAAAACAAACGTGTAATTATAATTCAAAGCTGTGCAATGTAGCCCTATTTGGTACTGATATATTGGCCGTATTAACTGATAAATGTATACATTTTCATAAACTGTAGTGTGAGTCTATTCTTTTAATACTTTAAACAAAAAAATGTAATAAAAGCGATTCAATGCCTGAATCACATTAACTTCGATATAGCACAATATAAGCAAGAATTTAAAATATTCTTAGAAGTGATTATCAGCTCCTTCTATTTTGTTTTCGAACACTGCAGCTTTCAGATTACTGATAATTCGAGAAACAGATACTTTGTGTGAGCATCGAAATTGGTTTTAATCACTTGCAAAGAATTTTTCCGTAGCGGTGATGATGGCGACAGTGTGGGAACGAACAAAGGAGAAAATGTGTTGTCTGCAAATGACATTTTGATGTTAGATTCTGTCGCTGAATGAAAAACAGCCCGTGCCAATCATTTTCAAATAGAATTAGTCAGCATATAGAACTTCAATTAGTCATCATTGAATAAATGCGTTGTGCTAAATCGGATAATCCGTTGTAAAAGTAAATATGTGTGCTGAAGACTTTCTTCGTATCGTCTTTTTTTCTATTAGAATTGATTGATAATAAAAGTCTAATGAGTGGAACGAACAGCCCAATCTAGAAAATGGCCTGAGGTTAAAAGGTCACCAACTAAAGAAGGAAGCGAGCGCTAAAAGAAGGGAAAAGCAAAAGGCAAAAAGCAAAATTATATAAATCTTCGCATTTTCTCTTTCGTCTCTTCATAGTGGCAATCCGACGCATAAAGATAAAAACTGATTTTACTTAAATTTGCAAAACAAAAGAATGTCTCATCATTGGTTATTGTTATCCATATTTCTAACAATTTTCTTATCACAAATATCAAATCTTCATTCGATTTCCATTGATTCCGGCAAAAGTACTCATATGATCGATGAAAACAATGGTACTCAACGTGCAAAAGATGCTTTAATTCGCTTAATTGAAAATATTCCTGGTGAATCAAATCCACACAAACAAAAACTTTTATTGAATGAATTACGTGAATATCTCAATCGTATGTGTACTGTTGGTTATTTTGGATCATTACATGCTCAAGCATGTCAACGTATCCTTAATGTTATTCATGAACATGATACGAACGAAGAAAATAATGATACAACTACTAATGATCAGACACGCACTGAAGACCATGGCATACAAAAACGTTTCTTTTGTAATGGTTTTATTGGCTGTAGAAATAATGCCGGTCGATAATTATTCACAGATGAGAAAATTAAATCAACATTCCAATCATCGATATAAAACGTGTCAAAGATGTTTATCAATAAAAAAAACAGCTATTTTGAAAAGCAGAACGTCAAAAATAGTTAGAATGAAATTTTAATCATTTTTTTATTGAAATTTTAATTAACTACGAGAGATGTATTTATTCAATAAAAGAGTTAAAAGTCCACTACTTGAAACGATTGAAAGCAATAAAAAATAAAAGTACTGAAATTAAATAGAAAGAAGAAGATTGTTGCAGGTGAACTTATCATAAAATATGAAATAATTGAACGTTAATAAAACAATAGCGACAAGTTTAATTTACGAATGGTTTCATATTAAAGATAGATTTTACTAGCTGTCTAGCTTATTTCAATTTATCTATTGATACCTAAACCATTGTCATAGCAAGCAAACTTGCATGAAAAACAAAACTGATTCGTTCTTCTCTCATATCTCGTAGATTTTCAGCACTGATATGTATCGGTGGTCTTCTATTTATATTGAATTAGATTCAAGAATTGTTCATGTAGATTGAGAAAAGAGTATTTTTATTTGAAGTATTTCAAAAACGAAAACCATTGCAATTAAGAAGAAGCGAGAAACAAAAAAAAGTAAATCATGATTCTTCTCTACCAAGTAGAGCATATTGATTGGTTAATAGAAGGAAAACAAAACGTTTAAAATATTCCAGTGTAGTTTTATGGGTTAGCTGCTGCAAGCATTTCTGATGCTGTTAATTCACGACTGTACATAAATAATTCATCTAAAGAACCTGTAAATCCAACTGAAGAGCCTGATATACAATCGATCCCATAGCCCCCATCACTTCCTATGAATACATCGATAGAAATACCAGTAGTAGTATACTTGAAAGCTCCTGAAGTCGAATAAAAAATTCCATTAATGTAGAGTATGAAGCCGTTAATTGAGCTATATGTAGCACCCACGTGAGTCCAAGTGTTGAGAGGAATAATAGGACCTGACACAGATATCAAACCAACATTAAACGAATTCAACACGATATGGCCACTTTCTGTCATCATTATGATACTAAGACGCCAACCTGTTGCACCAATTCCAAATAAAATAGTTGACAATGCATAGCTGCTCGTTGGCTTAACCCATAGAAAATAGGTGTGCGGTTGATTGGACACTTCCAGAGGTGGAAATGACGCATAGTCAGTATAAACAAGGGCATTTGGATTCACCTGAATAGCTTGATTAACTCTTACAAGTACAAGACTTGGACTTCCGCTTGTCGTTGTATTGATACCGTTCAGACTATTATCAGTCGTTAAACTAGTATCAAATGAATAGTACGCCATAAGAGTTGCATCGCGTAGAATGTCACTAGCATTTTTCGCGCTCGATACGAATTGCATTAGATCAAGGTAACCATTGAAATAGTTCGAGCCTGGTGGTATTGCATAAGTAACACCAATAGTTGTATCGCCTGATGAACCTTGAAAGGAATATAATGATCGAGAACCATCAAGTATGCCATTTAAGTAGACCTGTAGTGTTTATGTTTCGAAACTATAGACACATGCAACGTGTGACCATACATTCATACTTAATGATGTTGCACCTGACGTGGCATTGGCTCCAAAGCCACAAGTCAGTTTATAATTTCGAACAAGAAAGTACATACATTTGTTGGTCATATTTACTTGACATTGGCCGAAAATAGCATAGTCAGCTGTCGTGAAACCAATCGAACAAATCCAGGTTTCAATCGTGAAACTCGACGAATAGAATAGAATTTGTCCCGATGGAATTTTCACGTATTCCTCTGATGCTCTAACTAAATGTATTGCTAATCCGAGGCCCCAATAACTTGTATTATATGAGATGCCCGCTGATGATACACTCGTGTACTTGTTTTTTGAATCGTGTGTATTGCCATTGAATGGCCAAAATATATCAAATACTGGCTCTATTAACAAAGAAACAATTAGCGAAATGTGCTAGTGTTTCTTGTTGACACTGCTCCCTATATGCGTACTAGTTTTTCTTAAATCCTGCTACTAGCTCAACAATTACATCGGATTGGATAATCGATTTAATAAGGGATTCATTAGCCTTCGGCTTTAAACTTCTATCTGATCAACGAAAATATCAGCGATTTGTTCCATAACTTAATATCTATCAACCATGTGCTTCATGGGTAGTCGGAAAAACATTTCTCTATACATACGAATACACCAGTTGGATATATTCAAACTGGCAGAAGCATTGAAATCGTTTCTTTTATCACATTGAGCTCCATCCCAACATGAACCGATAGGACATTCACAAGTGCCGAAATCTGAACATGCCAGGTATCGATCTTCAACACATTTCGAACAAGGTTGACCGTAATTATTGGAAAAACTTGTAGGTATTGTGACTGATTCAATACGTTGAGTTTGTACTGATGAAGTGATATTGCTTGTATTTATAGTATCATCGAATAGACGACAGAGAAGTGACGAAGAGTCATAGTCAAATGTGCGACATTCTCTATTGAGATTACACGCTGTAATGAATGGAAAAAATCAGAAAAAAGCAAGATTTCACTCAACATTAGTGACAGTGATTATACTCTCAAACAATTAGTAATCTTGAAACTTACATGAACTACATCGTAGAAGAGATGGCGCATTACATTGTGAGAGTAATGAAGACTGAACACTTGGTTGAAATTTAGTTCCCCAATCGCTAAGCCAAATATACGATTGAAACGTCATGTCTGCTACGAGACATTTGACAAAGACCACAATCAATAGCTTCCGAAACGTCTTCATACTGTTATTATTCTGCTGCATACAACAGAGAGTTAATGATGAATGCCTTCTAAAATCTAGTCTTCTATAGCTATATTATTTTTTCAGTTATCGTTACTTTGGTAATATATTGCTTCTTTTTGTGTACTCAAAAAAATGAGTACACTCTAGAATCGGTCAGTGTGTCCGGCCGGCCGTCCGTTTACACGATAACTCTCGAAAGGAGAGTTAGATCATGATGAAATTTTCTACACAGTTCAGCCTCATTAATGTCTCAGTCGAGTTCGAAGATGAGAAGGATCCGTCAAGAAATGGTTGAGTTATCGAAAAAATTGTCATTATTGACCAATCCAACCCTGAGGGGGGGTACAGGGATTTTTCAAAAAAACAATTTTTCTTAGAATTATTCACAACACATATAAATCGACTCAGTTTTTAACGCTGATTCCGAATCTGATATTAATTTTGAACCAAATCGTAGCTTTCTAACAAAATATCGCCTGAAAAAGGTCTAAAAAATGCACAAAAACTGCATCCAGAAACCAAATTGGCTAAATATATTTCAGATGACCAGTAGTTTTGGGGTTTCTCAAATGCCTGGTTTTGTAGCTAGTCAAAAGGACTATCGAAAGGTAAAAACCCGAACTCGATAGCTATTAATATTGGTGATTTATTAGGAGAATACTGATGCCTGTATCTATCATATATCTCTTATAGATTCATGAGGTTCCTTACGATCGTAATTCCGCTAGATACAAGCGCAAATCCATTCAAAAATAACTCTTCTTGCCCAGTTTTCCAAGCTAAACACGAATCTGAACTTAATTTCAGTGATTTCTAAAGATATTATATCACTCTAAGAGTAGAGTCAGTGGTCACCGGATATGGTCGCATACAGTGTGGTCCATGCTAACTTAGCACGCCTGTATTTTCTCCTTGCAATTTAGTGACAAGGGATTATCTTGATGAGATCTATGTCTTATAGAAAAAAAAAGTGAATATACCTTTTCACTTTTTGAAGTACACATAACACTCGGATTTAAATCCGAGGTTTTCGCATTTATTTCTCTCTGTTAATAACAAAATGAAAAATACTGTATCATTGAATGACTTTATATGTTAGGTGATATTCTGTATAATTACATCTATCAGCTTATTAGATTTTTTTGTGTCTTTATTCTACTTCAGCGTCAAAGCATCATCTTAACACATTCAAGTTGATATATTACAATTATGTACAAAGAATGATAAAGTGGCTGTTTTTTATACTACAATGAGATAGAGTTAAATGTGTTACAATTGAGAAATGTCATATATATCTTTGGCTGATTACTTTTGCTCCTAAAAGTCAATCACAATACATTGATAAAACATTCATTGACATTGCAATTGTGGATAAAAACTTGAAACGCTCCCTTAGTCTGCTAGGAAAATATAGCTCATTTAGTTTTAATTGAATGGAGTTATAAACGTCGTTCAACGTCAGCTACCAGAAGGCTACATAGACGATGCCGTCTGAAAGCTGTTACTCTTTTTCGAACATATTGAAATAAAATAGAATGCCGGTAGAGTTGACAATTCGAAGAATTACTCTTTTTGCAACTTCTTAGTAAAAGAGTCAATCGCTCGTTATGAATCAATCAGCTCAATAATTGCCCATATAAATGATATTTTTTATTCGATGATTATTGACGTTAGTCATTTCCTCTGAGCGTTACTAATTATGATACGATAATTTAGTGCACAATCTTCATGGAACACACTTAATAATAGTGGCAGAAGCCTTGATTGAGCTGATGCATCGTATCTCGCAAAATGTATAAATGAAGTATTGACGCAGTCGGAATAAATTAGGAAGATAAGTTGATCAAAACTAAAGCTAGTGAAACTAGTTTCATATAGTCACTTTATGATGATACATGCAGATGTGTGAGAATAGTGACGCCCTCTATATTTTTCAGAGCCGATGGTCTCAAGCGACAGTCTGAACAGAGTGGAAACATTTCGAAAATATGCATATAAATGTAAATGAAAATTGAAGAATAAAACAAAAGGATGTTATGCTATGTTTATTTTTATTTTTTCTTTCTTTCCTTTGAGTGAGCCCGCTACTAAAGAAAATTACACCGAAACCGTTGTCGTCATAGTAGCAGTGAAGTATTGTTTTCTTAAAATGAAAATTTTTATGCGCTGTGACAGTAGTAGTTTACCATTGTAAGCCAGTCGTTGCTTTATGCTTTGACAGATTAATTGGTTTCACCCATTGGTTAACAATATAAATATTCTGTACAATGATTTCATCTTATGAGACGACCGGTACTTGCAAACTTCTATTGAATAAACCACTTGTTTGGAAAATCGATTATATTTTGGAACAAATTTCTTTGAAATTGAACAAACAAAAGAGCGTTCCACCTTTATCTGCAACATTCACCACTTTCGATCGCTGTAAGACGAAAATTGATCACAACGTGTGTAGACCATTGCTTTCATCAACTATTCCACGGGTAGAAAAGAAACAAGAGAAAGAGCCAGAAACGGTCGAAGACTTAATTATAATTTGGTTAGACGAAAATATCAACCAAAACAAAGACGATTTGGGCGAACGAAAAAGTCATTTACGTGAAATAGTTAATTGTTTGAAAACTTTCGATAAGGAAACTGAATGTTTCGATTTCATAGGAAGCATAAAAAACGAAAAGATTTTATTGATAATCTCTGGATCATTAGCAAAGACATTTATCAATAAGATCCATGATATGTCTCAAGTTTTATCTGTTTATATTTATTGTTTTTATGATAATCAGTACGAACAACGGAAAATTACTCATCGAAAAATAGTTGGTAAGTTTACCGATGAACATGGTCTAATCAAACAAATTACCCAAGATGTTGCTTCGTTTTTCAACAATTATCTACCAGTCAGCGTAATTAATTCGATTGATACGAACGAAAATTCAACACAAGATATTGGTCATGATCAAGCGAAATTCATGTGGTCTCAACTTCTAATGGATTTTCTATTACATTTACCGCAAACAACATTTTAAAAATGCGCGTTAGTTGGAGAATGTCGTGGGCATTATAAAAACAATACTTTTCAACAAAAGAAAATAGCTGAATTCGAGAAAAAGTACAATTCATCAAACGCCATTTTATGGTATACGCGTGATAATTTTCTTTTTCGTATAATAAATAAAGCATTACGTACACAAAACATACTCTATATATTGAAATGTCGATTTTTCATTACTGATATGCACCATTATGTGAAATCTCTTCATTCAAAATTCATTAAAACTTTACCGGGAAATTTCTTAACTGTCTATCGAGGGCAAATGATGACTGCTGGCGAGTTTGCTAAATTGCAGACGAATATCAATGGTTTCATTGCAATCAATACATTCTTTTCGACAACTTATTCATCAGTTGTAGCAATAACTTTTGCTGGCGATGGATCCGGTCGACCGATGTTTGAATCGATCTTTTTTGAAATAGAAATCAATTTAAGTTTGCATAAAACACCATTTGCCGATGTTCATAAGATCAGTCAGTTCGGCTCCGAAAAAGAAATAATATTATCTATGGGGTCTTCTTTTCGTATTGAATTCATTGAACCAATGAGCGATAAACTTTGGCATGTTAAATTGATTTCGGCAAGCGAAAAAGATACTGCGCAACTCGATGATTTAGCTCGGTATTTGAAGAAAAATATTAATAATGAATCAAATTATCTTCTATTCGGTAAAATTTTACGAGATATGGGTCAGTATGATCAAGCCGAAAAATTTTATGAATTATTATTGACTGAACTTCCATCGAATCATCAAGACATAGCAGCTGTTTATTCATGTTTAGGATCAACGATTGCTAAAACACAAAAGAATCTTCGACGAGGGTTATATTATCTGCGACAATCGCTCATGTTACAAGTCAAAGAATTCCCAAAGAATTTTATCCTTTTCGCTGACACTTTGATAGCTATTGGCGGAATATTTATCGAACGCCGAAAATATCAATCCGGACTTCGCTACTACCAGCTCGTTCGTGGAATGTTTGAATGCGTTCATCCAAAAAATCATTCTAGAATCATCTTACGGCGAGCTAAAGTTTACAACAATATTGGATACGTCTATTCCGAGATGAATCAATTTTCGTGCGCATTAAAATATTACAAAATATCTGTTGACATAGAGACAAAGTTGCTACCATCGAATCATCCAAGTATAGCTACTGGAATGAACAACATAGCCACAGCATACCTTAAGAAACAAAATTTTTCATTAGCAAATAAATATTTTCAACAAGCAAACGAGATTCGGCCGACATCACTACCGTTCGACCATCATCCAGATCATGCACAAATGTACAATAATCTTGGAACGATGGAGTATGAAAAAAAAACATTTCGATCAAGCATTAGTTCATTTTGAGAAAGCGCTCGAAATACATATGAAATGCTTGCCCCCTGTTCATCCACAAACTGTAATACTTTACAATAGTATGGGTCATGCTTATTCAGGCAAAGATAATCACAAAAAAGCACTGGAAATGCATGAAAAAGCGCTAGAGATTGGTCAGCAATGTTGGCCATCAGGTCATCCGGAGATTAGCCAAGCCTATTGTAATATTGGTGGTGCAAGTCGTTCTTTGAAGGATTATGCAAGAGCATTGAGCAACTGTGAAAAAGCCTTGATTATTGCTAGAAACTGTTTACCTTCAACTCATCCAGATCTAGCAGAGGCTTACTCAAATCTAGCAGAAGTCTACAGTATTACGAATGAATCATCGATGGCGTTGACTTATTTTCTCAAAGCGCTGGATATTTATACTAAGAATCCACCCATTAATTCGTTCACATTAGGTGTTTTGTACGAGGAAATGGGGATTGAATATTCCACAGTAGAAAAATATGAAGAAGCATTGAAACATTTTCAAATGGCTTTAAATATATTTCAGTCATCTCATGAAGTCGAATCCTCGTTAAAAACATTATTTTTGAATCTCGGTCAAGTTTATCATCACAACAATGATTATGACAATGCTTTGATTTATATTGAAAAATATATTCAATTCGAATTAATGTTAATACCAAATATTAACTATCAGAATCTTTCACAAGCATACGATACTCTCGGAGATATTCATCATCAAAGAAAGAATTATCCTATTGCATTGAAAAACTATGAAAAAGCCTTGGAAAGTGCTGAAAAAGTTGATTCAATATCTTCGACTGAGGAAGATCGGTCAACATTGATTCAGCAATATCAAAATACTATCAAATTGATAAAAGACTTAATCGACTAACTATCATTCTTGCGTTTTAAGAATAGCTTTATGTTTTCTGTTGATGTATGTTGATATGTTTTTACTTAAATACCAATGTTATCTTCAGTCAGAATGTGAGTGTCACGTAGATATGTGATTGATAGCGTGTGAGCGTTAGTGTACGAATAGGTGTGACTTAGAGAATACTCGACCAAATTCACATTTTTCTTGGCTTATGAATTTAGATGCCTATTCTATCATATTGCCCCTTCTTATACTGTTTAATTTATAATCACAATAAAAGGTAAATTAAGGTTAATATCTACCGTAGTGAAATAGATCCGATGGTGAATATCGAAACCCTGACCTACATCTTCTATATATTTTTGCTGAAAGTTATCTCTGCTCTTCTCAGTATTATGGTTCAGTTGCTATAAATATAAGAGCCGTTTTATCCTAATTACAATAAAACTCTGAATATCTTTACTATGAAGACAATCAGCATGATATTCAAGTACTTCCAGTGCCAATTCGCTCTGTAGCCCGTGTTGGATCTAAAACAGATTATGCAGAATATGGAGATCTATTTTCTATGAACTGTCACTATTTTTTGTAAGGTCGTCTGGAAAAAACTCGAGTTTACTCAGGAAATGGTAACTTCCCCATTTTGATCATAATGGCAACAAAAAGTATTTTCAAGCCCTGTTCATGTCTTTGACCGACTGTACTCAATGCAGAATTTTATTCTCTATCGAATTCTACTATTTTCAATGGGAGGCACTGGCAAAAATATTTGGATTGCGTGTGCATATGGGCCTCGTGTTGATTCTGAATGTGTAAATAGGTCGAACTATGGGTTTAGGTAAAAGTGAATGTATTTCATGTCCTATACGAAAACGTCAATCTTCCAGAAAGTTGAAACTAGTAACGAAAAGTATTGCACCCTATCCATAGTCAACCCACACCCAAAAACAAAAGTTCTACTTGAAACACAAGTGTTGCAAGACCCAAAACCAGCAAGATAGTAAATACAATCTACAATTACTGAAAAAACTTGATCATAAGCTCAATATTATGAATAAAAACCATTTTTTCACGTGATGAACCCTACAAAAACAATACCACTCGATAGAGTATAAAACTCTGCATCTAATGCAACCGGTTAGCAACATGAAACAGGCCTGGAAATATTCGAGTATCATGCTAACGTTATCGATGTGACTTTGCTTTGTTGCATTTTATTTCAAGCGATGCTTCTATCATAAATTCGTGCTCAGATAAGAATGTTTGCCTTTCAACTTATTTTACAGCCTCACGAGAGAAAATTTGCTTGAATCTATTATCGACGAGTACACGTAACAAGAAATGTGAGTTTATTGCTTTCTCACAAGTAGCTACGAACACGAAAATCATCGTTTTAAAAGCTAGGAACTGTGCTGTATAGTGGCTACACGTGTGTAAAAGAAAGCTTTGTGCCTCTTTTGCAGATATAATTTGATCATTTTGTTATCACCAAATGTGATATCTTTAGTTATAAACGACCATATCTAGCGCAAAGAAACTGATATTAACGTGAATAAAACTTTCGTCACTATAGATAAATTTCATAAACAGAAAATGTCATCTCGCTTCTATGACATAGAACCTGTGAACAAACAACCAGCTATTGATGAGTATCTCATTTGTAAACTTGTTTCTCTCGAAGAGGCCGTTGCTCCTGTGAGTCACATCGTCATGGATATTATTAAATATGCTGCGTCAGCGAAACTTGCTTGTAAGGCACCCTCAGAAAACCTTACCTGTGATGAATCTGCTGCTATCTATTTGTATACGATGGAAACACAGTGTTATAGCAAAATGAACAAAGCATTGCGACTGAATCTGATGGAAGAGGTCAAACCGTGGTTTCTCTATTTAAAACTTTTCCATACAGCCTTGAACAAACTACCATGTCAAAAATCGCTGGTTTGGCGTGGTATTACGGGTGACGTTAGTCTTAATTATTCAAAAAATACAAAATTCATATGGACAGGAGTGTCATCGGCTTCAACAGACATTAGTGTGCTTCATTGTTTCCTTCCGAACAATACACATTGCACTCTTTTCTCTATTAATTCCAGATATGGGAAATCGGTGGTAAAGCACAGTGCCATGCCTAACGAATGTGAAATCATTCTCATACCTGGTACGAGACTTAGAGTGAAAGGCATTTTAGACAAACCATCTTTAACCATAATTCAGCTTGAAGAAGAAAGAAATCCGAAATTTAAAGGTAATCTTGCAGTACTTCCGGGAATAAAACCAGTGGCTCATACGGAGCCTTCATCTTCGATCAAAGATAAAGTGCCACCTGACTCCCTAAAAAAAAATGCTATACTACCAGCAATCAAGATGGAATCAGAAAAACAAACTACAATTGATAACTGTAAGTAACTTTTCTTAATATAAGCTATGTCGAGAATAACAGAGTTATAATATCCATTTCTTAGAAATTATTGAATCAGCTAATTGTAAAAAGTACTATCTGCCTTAAAAGAAAGAACAGCTATATCTTATTTTGAATAGACTCCAAGCATTCTTAACAACACAGAACAGGACTTTCTAAGTAAACCAAACAGACCACAAATGTACTAATCTGTACGAACTATGTAAAGTCTTAAAAATTCTTGTATAGATCTCGCGCAAGAATATCTTTATTCGTCAATCTCTCAAATTTGCAGTAGAGCTTGTGTTCACATTAAACTAAAATGTGTCCGAAACAAGGGGGAAAGTCGTGACTTCCGTACTTCGAATTACGATGGGAGTAGAATGGGAGTACATGAAAGTACGATGAAAGTACAATTGAAGTACAAGGGAATGCGAGTGAAGTACGGAAGTCGCGCGGCGGGGGGGGGGGGGGGGGGGGGGGGGTGGGGGGGGGGGGGGGGGGGGGGGGGGGGGGGGGGGGGGGGGGGGCGTGAGAGAGGNATGGCGGGCACCCCCCCCCCCCCTTTGACTGTAGTTGTAAGGGTTTCGGATTGAGTTTGCATTTGGGTATAACTGAAGTGAATTCCTCACATACACACATCCTCAAGAAAATTGGTTTTAAGTTGGCTAAACAAGTTATGCTTTGAAGCAAGTGTTACTAGAAAAAAATCGAGAGATAAAATTATCTAATATCAGATGTAAACATGTGATAATACAGTTATCAATTCTTGCTCATATATGAGGTGAAATTTTATGAAAATGTGTTAAAGAACAATGAAATCTAGATTTTACTTTTTATCATTTAGCTGAAGCTGAGAAAACTTTGACCTGCCCACACTGTCAAAAGAAAAACACTTATATCAGCTACAAGCAAGGAGGGACATGTACTTGCTCGTGTGAAGCTAGCTACAAACAAGTGACATGTCCTCATTGCCACAAACCAAATTACTGGGAAAATCCTAATGATTACGTCGCTAGCAATCGTATTCATTGCGCCAACTGTAGCAAAGATTTTCAACAGTTAACATGCCCTCATTGCAGCCAATGCAACTATTTTATGAATGCGAACTATATTGAAGGAAATGTCGTTGATTGTTGTGCATGCAAGAAATCATTTCAAGTTATGATTTGCACACTATGTTCTTCATCTAATATTTGGAAAAATGCCGACCATATTGAAGGGGATAAAGTAACATGCTCGAACTGTAAGAAATTATTTCAAAAAGTGAGCTGCACACATTGTAATAAGCTCAATAATTTTCCAACACTTGGCTATCATGAGGGTTTATGTCTTACTTGCGCTTATTGCAGTAAGAAGTTTCAGCGTATTACATGCCCACATTGTGGGAAAGAAGGTTTTTGGAAAAATGCTGATTATCTTCAAGGAACTCGAACATCTTGTTGGTCATGCAAAAATATCTTTCAATGCGTCAATTGTTTCCATTGTAATACAGCTAACAAATGGTTAGAATCAAAATATGAACAAGGATCTGTAATAGCATGTCGATCATGCTCCAAATCGTTCCAACAAATGAATTGTCCACATTGTAAAACCACTAACTGGTGGAAAAATGCCAACCATACACAGGGTGAAGTAATACAATGCCATTCATGCAAAGAAAAATTTCAACATATTGCGTGCCCCAACTGCTCTGCAGCAAACATTTGGAAGGAGGCCAACTATCATCACGGGCAGCGGCGAGTATGTTTTCACTGTACGAAACCCTTTCAAATGATGCAATGCCCTCATTGTCAAACAATTGAATTTTTTACTACGGGTTCTTATCGCCAAGGAAACCCAACCACTTGTATCACGTGCAAGAAAGCCTACCAATTACTCAATTGTCCATACTGTAAGAGTGCGCTATATGTTAGCTCACCTGGCGGCTATCATGCGAATGTGCTCGTAGACTGTTGTTCGTGCAACAAGTCCTTCTATCACCTCAACTGTTCAAAATGCGGTGACGCAGAATACTTTACGGCGCCCTATCAATATGGAACTTTAAATAAATGTTCGTCGTGTGATGTTACATCACAATATATTAAATGTATTCATTGCAATAATATTGATTTTTGGCATTGTATAACACAAAAGTATGTGTACATGCATGGGCGAACCGTGAACTGCAGCAAATGTCAGAAAAAATATCAGCACTTACAATGTCCCCATTGTAGAAAGTCAAATTTTTTCCGTAATGCTGATTATAAAGAAGGAGAGCAAATTCAGTGCGCCAGCTGTCAAAAGAACTACCAACACAAGCAGTGCAACTCGTGCAATGCTCCAAACTATTTTCCTAATGCAGATTACCATTTGTCTAAAAGCAACATATGTTGTGAATGCCATAACAAAATCTAGTGTAGTTTCAAGGAATGATTACATTTTGAGATTTGGTGTTCTACTTCTCTAAACAGATGACATATGTGAACAGTATTCTCTCCCACTACTGAGATTAACCTATTTAAATATAAAAAGAACTCACAGGTTTGATTGATACGTATATAAACCTACAAAAGCAAAACAGCAAGACCATTCGTTTCTTTTTTTTGTTGCGAGCATATTTTATTTCTTCATGTTTTCATATGATTACAAAAGCCAAATCGTTCACTGCATATAATTCTTTTATACCTATATTTTTCTGAACATTCATCATCACTCAAGGCTTGTTTTATTTAAGATCTTTGCTGTGCTTAAAACATTACTGTTGAATATGCTTGTCAAGTTAAATACCAGTTTTCATCTGTCCTGTGTGACAAAGAGAATAATACTAGCTAATTTCCATGTTTCTTAATGGCATGCATTGAGTTAATTCGGATCTCAAGAGTAGCTCTGCTTACCATACAACACATATGTATATAGTGGATAGTAAGATCAAGAGAGGTGCAGCCCAGTGAAACATTTCGGTGATTAAAATCGATTATTATTTCGAAATCCTCTGGGTATAATCCAAAGTGGTAATCGGATTTTTCTGCAACAAAATCAAAATTATAATCGATTGAAATCGAGATTCCAATCAACATTAATCGATTATAATCGGTCAGAATTTTGATTTTGTTTGCAGAATAATCAAACTGATAATTTTGATTATAATCAATAAAAATCGATTAGAAAAGTATAATAATCAATTTGCACAATTGTGATTCATGAATGTTAGCTCTTGTAGGAGTCACACACGTAAGCTTAGTTAGAGATTGAGAAAACGTTTTCAAGGAATATCAATCGGACAGATCAGATGGTGACGTTTAGGCAAACTGAATCTCATCAGCACTGTTACTATGAAGTAGAGAAACTTGCAAAATGTATCATCAGTGCTTTATAAGGAGCTAGTTAACTTTTTATTCAAAGAAAGAAGCCATCTATAAGGATGCTTTTAGGACTTGTCCCTAGATTGTATAGACATAGGATGGAGCCACAAATTTCCCATAAGTTCTATTCTAAAAAAAAAGATCAGCTTGCCAGCATCTTACCATTTCTAAATACCATTGAAAAACTTTCAAAGTCGAGTTTTTTATTCAAACTGAATAATTAAGTGGCGAAGAAGTAAAGTATCAGAAACAGTAGATGCTAGTGAGTTGATATTATCTTTTTAAGAATAGAACTTATAGGAAATTTGCGGCTTCGTCCTATGTCTATACGATCTAGGGACAAATCCGAAAAGCATCCTTATAGATGGCTTCTTCTTTTGACTAAAAAGTTAACTAGCTCCTTATAAAGCGCTGATGATACATTTTGCAAGTTTCTCTACTTCACACTCTAAATAAAAATGTATCGGCTGTGTCGTTAACTACGAGACAAAGCACGACACGAGGTGCTCGTTGCGACACATTCTGTCCAGCAAGACGACAACGCATTTTTCACAACATATCCGACACATTTTCTATTGGTCGTTTTCGAAACGCATATTTCAATATTTTTTTGAATTTAATTTAATATATTTCCTTATTTTTTGAAAATTTAATCTCCTCAGATCTGGCTGATTTGGCATTGGTCCTATTCCTATCAGACCATCTAGTGTAGTCCTATTCCCATCAGACCATCTAGTGTAGTCCTTCCCAGATCATGGATCGGGATGGCATTTCATTGATTGAGAAGCAATCAAGAATTAATTTAAAAGAAAATTCTATTTTGAAAACGTATCTTTCATGCGTTCAGCGATGTTGTCTATATGTCGCTGTATGCTCATAACAAAACGGTGAACGACTAGTCGACAGACAGAACGCGAAAAATATACGACACATTTTTTTTAATTATAAGTGCGACACAAAAATTCACGACACATTTTGCTAATAGAAAGCACAACACATAAATGCGCGGCACATGAATTCGACGCATTTTTATTTAGTGTGTGATAGAAAATCTCAAACTATCTGGTGCTGTTGTAGAAATGGCTGTAGCGGCCGTGCTTCTTTTGATGGTGCAATATATATCAAAGTCAACGATTATATTCATGCACCTAATCCTGAAGAAATAATAGCAACAGAATATAAATCAAAAATTGTGAATAGCGCAATAACATTGCACGATCCACCTCGACGTATTATTCATGAAGTTTTACTAGGTATTAGCAAAGATGATGGAACAGCTGTTCCAAACTATTCATCATGGCAACGTACTATTCAATGAAAGAGAAAAGAAAAAGAAATACCATCACCACGACCGACTTCATCTGATGATATTCATATTCCTGATGAACTTCGAGTTACTAATGGAGGTATAACACGTTCTTATTGTACGATAATGAAAGTAGTACTAATCGAATGATTCTATTATCATCTATGGAACTCAGAGTTTTAGCTTAATAACAAGAGACGTATATTTTAAGCGAGCAAGAGCTCTCTTCAACTTTTGATGTTAGTCTGATTTATTAAAATAAAATTATTTTCTTGTATTCTTTAATCACTTGTTTAATGAGCGCTCACCTGTCGTGTCACCTATGAATACGTAGACACGATTGGATGTTTACATTTGTTGACCAGGTGAACGCCATCTAGTCATTTCTTTGGGAATGGATGTTTTCAAGTAGTCCAATCCTAATCTACAACTTGGACATCCTTTGTGAAGAGGCGCTTCTAGTATGAAAAGTGTAAAGACAACCCGGGTGTCGTGCGCCACACATCAACGAGAAAAGTTGCTTATTACAACTTACCAAGAGGTAAATGATCTTCACTGATCAAATACATGTTGCGATGACGAAATTGTGCTGGTCGATGGAAACATTGACCTGCCAGAGCAACACTTTTCATAAATAAAATAATAATCTATGTTATCCAATGCCACATTATAGCAGTCAACTGCGAGACTGATTTATTAACTAACGAATGACTATGCATACTCTCAACACCCTATTACTCTTTTTTTCGGATATCACTTTTCGTTGAGTAGCTCTCAGTATTCATGAACCGTAAAAACAATATAAGAGAATGTGCTTTTTTTGCAAGCTGATTCTTCAGACGTATGTCTATCCTAATATTGATTATGGTTCATAAAATTTCAAGTGATGTCTACTGTCGTTAACATGCAATATATTTTCATCCCTGACTTTGATGATATTGACATTTCTTTTAATGGAGAATCATGTGTTCTAATTCGTGAAAAAAGAATCACTAGGGTAGCATACAGACTTCTTTCATGAATCACTGGATATTTTCATTTATTTAATTAAAAGTGTCGCTCTGGCAGATCGTTGTTCCCAACAATCCGCACGATTTCGTCATCGCAACATGTATTTGATCCGTAAGGATCATTTACCTCTTGGTAAGTTGTAATAAGCAATTTTTCTCGTTGATGTGTGGGGCACGACACCCCGGTTGTCTTTACACATTTCATCAACGAAAGCTGTCTTATGCATAGATTAGTAATGGTGTTCGAGGAACCAATGGTGTCGCAGGTTCATCTGACTGTTATAGATGGCGGTAACACCATTGAGGTAATGAATGGAATGGATATATTGATAAACATATATGAAAGATTAAAGCAATGTACATTGTCCGGGGGTAATAAAATAATTCGAAGAAGATTTATGAAAAAACTAAAAGCTACACTTGATGATAGTATTGGATATCATCTAATTCATTTAAATCAAGATCATGTCAATGGTAGACTGCACGAATTGGTACGCTTCATAGAGTGAAGTGTCTTCTGTCTTAAATGACGCCGAATTATCAACCAAAAAATCTCATCTTTTATCCATTTCTAAGAGTAAAAGTATGAATGAGATAGTATAAATGAAAATTCTGTAATTAGTGGCCAAGCTGGAATTTCATTTAGAACTAGATTAATTGAATAAAATGAAGCATTATGAATACGAGCTAAGAGTGCCAATAGAAAATATCCTCCAGATTTTGTTGTATTTTGGCTGCTTGTTCAGGGTTGCCAGCAGTACGCCATTCGGGGGTACAGTACCCCATTTCAGCCTTTTGTACCTCTGAGGTGCGCATTTTGTACCCAATCTGTATTTTTCAATGTTACGACTATTATCATCCATATTCTGGTTGAAACTAAGAAAATTTCACGTAAGGGAAGTGAGCCCCATATTCGTGTTTTTCCAGCCGCGATTCGCACTAATATGAGTGTTAACTCTAAAACAACTTGTGTTCGATCCAGAATATCAAACTCTATCGTATACCCTATTTTCCGAACACCCTAATGTCGAAGAAACACACCTGCCAGCCGAAATACCACTTTTCCCCAGCAACCGCTCCCCAAAAAATATATTTCTAGCCCCGATTCGCTCAACGACTTGTGTTGAGTCTGAATGTGGTTGTGTGAGACGCAGAATTTCGAGCTCTATCGAATCCTTTCACTCTCAACTGTTCTGTTCTCGTAGAACTCATCGTTTTCGAGGGAAAACTGGTCACAATGCGGTTTTACACCACTAATTTCAGCCCCAATTCGCTCAACGACTTGTGTTGAGCCGGAATGTAGTTGTGTGAGACGCAGAATTTCGAGCTCTATCCAATGATGCCAATATCAAGTGTTTTACGCCCGTAGAACTCACGGCTTTTCAGGGAAAACTAGTCCCAATATGGTTTTACACCACTAATTTCAGCCCCGATTCGCTCGACGACTTGTGTTGACTCTGAATGTGGTNTTTAGTTACACATAAATCTTGTTGTATCAATGGAAAATTTCGTCCTGATTGTTGTTTTTCTATATTAAAATGTTAATATCAACATTTATGAAGAACTTCAATGTTTACAATATTTTGTTGTTTTTATTGGAGAATTCAAGAAATCATAGACTAGTGGCTAATGTTTTTTCATTACATCATTTTAATCATTTCGAATCTTGAAAACGAATAGTCCTTTCGGCATGGTGTTTTTTGGAACGATATTTGTGAGCGCACTGAATGTCGATGAAAGATTCGGTACGTTTACAATGCGTTGGAACGAGTTATTTGTGATTTTCTGACCTTGAGATCATCATGACAGAAAATGGTCTGATGTGATGTGCACGTATAGTTCCCAAGAAAAAGAAACAAAAAATCGGTCTTGGCTTCTCTACTTTCATTTCTTCGTGGAAATGACTTCGCTATTTATGTATAAGAGTTTAAAACGAAAATTTTCTACTGAGCAGCTGATAGGAATTTCAAATACTACTTAACTAACCATTAACAATTGGATCACTGTGAAAACTCCATGTATGCCTGGCGACATGTTTTGCAAGAACGATTTCGATTGAACATTTAATTATCTCAATGATTCAATATCTACTATCAGCTGTGAGCGAATACACTAGTAGCTAGCATTTGGTGATGACGTCATATTAATTATCTCGAATTTTGAAAAGGACAAATTCCTTTCATTTTCGTCATTTTTGAATCACAGTTGTGAGTGGATGGAATTTCAGATCGGTGATCCAAAAACAGGTGTTATAAGTTCGATCTCGATACTTCCATCTGACATTTTAACTACTTTTTTACGATTTTGTGTTCTCGAGATAATCGCGTCACAAAACGACGAAAAAGATGCGTACGTCGAGAAAGCAAAAGAACAAGAAAACTCGCGATGGACTACAGAAATACTTCATGCTTCCCATTGCATTAATAAAATTGAATAGTTAGAAGTATTACAGTTAAACGTGTTTAATTGAATGTAATCTTCGTACTATTATTAACTAATATCGATCAATAGCCACTCAGCTAACACTGAGTCAATGAAATAAATAAGAAATAGATGTAATACAAATTTTAAAACAGTACGATTTTAAACAGTTTTTTTCGGATTCACGTTATTCATGAACACATAAATATATAAAATGATTAATTTACCCTATAACTAGATTTCACTTGAAAATCTTAATTGAGAAATCGAAAACCATATACTTACAATAGATTATTTAACTATTGCAGAAATTAGTATGTTTATTTCAATTTAGTTAGATGTTGTTAATTTTCTTCACATGAATAATAAAATTCTTATTCTAATGACTACAAATTGAAAATTACTTCCTCGAAAACACACGTATCTTTTAACTGAACAGGAAATACGATGCTTGGCTTATCAAAGTTTCAATACAAGATATTTAAAAACATTTAAAGATCCCAACTTCATTTTTTCAGCTTTCGACAAGAAGTTTCAACATATAATCATCATGAAACGACTCATCTTTTGTGGTTGTAAAAAAGCATATTTTTTATTTTCTATCCATTTACTGGTTTCTTCGCACTATAGCTAATAGCTCAGTAGAAAAAGTAACACATATCTAATGAAGAAATTCTTTAGTTTTTGTTTCCAAGATAATTGATTATTACGAATAAAACGAGAAGTTTCCTAAGAGGAAATTTAACTTCCACAAAATTCGTATAAATTTCACATCACACACCAAAAATACAACAAAACCGGGAGGATATTTTCTATTCGCACTTTTAGCTGGTATTCATAATGCTTCATTTTATTCAATTAATCTAGTTCTAAATGAAATTCTAGCTTGATCACTAATTACAGAATTATCATTTATATTATCTCATTCATACGTTTACTCTTAGAAATGAATGAAAGGCGAGATTTTTTGGTGATATCCAATACTATCATCAAGTTTAGCTTTTAGTTTTTTCATAAATCTTCTTCGAACTATTTTATTACACCCGGACAATGTACACTGCTTTAATCTTTCATATATGTTTATCAATATATCCATTCCATTCATTAGCTCAAAGGCGTTACCGCCATCTATAACAGTCAGATGAACCTGCGAAACCATTGGTTCCTCGAACACCATTACTAATCTATGCATAAGACAGCTTTCGTTGATGAAAAGTGTAAAGACAACCGGGGTGTCGTGCCCCACACATCAACGAGAAAAATTGCTTATTACAACTTACCAAGAGGTAAATGATCTTTACTGATCAAATACATGTTGCGATGACGAAATCGTGCGGATTGTTGGAAACAACGATCTGCCAGAGCAACACTTTATTAAATAAATGAAAATATCCCGTGATTCATGAAAGAAGTCTGTATGCTACCCTAGTGATTCTTTTTTCACGAATTAGAACACATGATTCTCCATTAAAAGAAATGTCAATATCATCAAAGTCANTTTAATGAGCGCTCACCTGTCGTGTCACCTATGAATACGTAGACACGATTGGATGTTTACATTTGTTGACCAGGTGAACGCCA